TGCTTGCGCTACCGTCAAATTCGACGGGAGGATAGAGAGTGTGCTGACTCACCTAGTATCCTCCGGCTGCATCAGTGGTGTGCAGAAAATGCCCGGGACAATACTCTTTTGGGATGAAATGAACCATTGATTGGGAGGCCCCCGCTCGGATACGTCGGGCGCCGTCAAGGGAAGATATGCAGGGGCCCCCAGCCCCAAATTGATCGTAGAGGTAGAGAGGAGTGAAGGCTCCGGAAAAAGTTCTGTCGCTGCCAGCGAAAGGGAAAGGAAGGGTCTGGAAGGTCCCCCCCCCCCCACCCCCCGCACCGCCCCGGCCATGCCAGGAGCAAAGCCCTTACCCCTCGCTGCCTCCTGCAGGTGAGGAAGACACAACTCGAATCGATGGGCTTGCCCCATCCCGGGAGTGGTTCGACCCCACACAATCCGAGAGAGAGATTTTTAGCAATACCAAACAACTCTACTCGAGTTCTGGACATCCTTTGGCCGCGTTGGGTAGCGAGGATTGGTGTGACGCGATCCACGCAGGCGTGTTTTCTGGGTGGCGGCCGACCGTCAGTGCACGGAGTTGCCCCTTCTCCGACTGCCCCGGCTAGTTCCCGAGGTCGTCGGGTGTGACCCCTGCGTCCCCCGCTACTCGAGTAACACTCGCACATCGGGCCTCGCGCCTTTGTTTGTTCAAATCCGAGCGAGACGGTGATAGATGCCGGCTCGTGATGTCACGGAGAGGACCCGAGAGTGTCCCCGGTGGCCCCCATCCGAGGTGATTGAGAGGGCATTCCGGAGGTCATCGTCGGCGCCACCGACCGTGATATGTCGCGTCCTGCAGCCCTGATGCACCAAACACATGCATGCAGTCGTAATATGCCGGCCTTCTCTCCCACAGTTTTGAGCAATAGCCGCAAAGAACGCTTTTGAGGAGCGGGCTAAACTCGAGCGTGAGCGGATTGAGCGAGAGAAGCAAGACGACCTCGCACACGCTTCAGAGAAAATTTGGGTGCAAGATTCTGAGACTGGTGATTGGGGCCTCTCCACCCGTGGCAGCATTGCCAACTTTCGCAACCGCCGTGTAAACTTCTCTTGCGCGTATCAAGCTTACACGGGGAGAGAGAGTACGTACGCACGTACACGGGCGATGCTGCTGAGGCCGATGCATACCTGCGCGACCCGGGTTCAGAGGCGTCACAGGCGTGGCTCGAGGCGCAGCTTGCTCCAGGCGGTGGAGGTCCGACACCGCCTGGCTCGCCCGCCTACGGGGATAACTTCTGCCCTTCCCCGGACTCGCCAGTGAGGCGGCCACGCGAGGAGGCGCCTGACGACAGCGACGCATATGAGCTCGACCAGGAGCGCGCGCTGGAGTTGCAGGGGCGCATCTCCTTATTTTATGGCCGGCCTTGGGACGAGGTGCCGAGAGGCGCGACGGTGCCAGTGACTTGCGAGTGGACCATCGAATACTTCCGCCGACAGCAGCAAATGCAACGCCCGCTCTCGCCCGCACCGGTAGCCACGGACTTTGACATTGAGGACGAGTTCCTGCAGGAGCGTGCGCGGTGGTTCCGCGACCACGGCGGCGGCGAGCTGAAGGGATTGACGCGGCTTGAGCAGAACGAGGCATTCCCGCGTTTGAAGGACCGCCTCTTTAGCCTTCGCCGCGACCGCGCGAAGGAAAATGTGACTGCAGCTTGACACCCAAGTGTTGAGCACCGGTGACTGTGGGAATGGGGAAGCAGAGTTCAGATCAGTCGAGGGAGTGTGATCTCCCTCATCCTCAACGGGCGTCCAATCGCAATCGGATTTACTACGGCGGTGGTCCAATGGTAATCCGCATATTACGGAGGGCGCGCTGACTTTCGTGGGCGGCAGGGAGGACTCTACAGCTTCTTCTCCGCGCCGCGCCTCGGCGTGAATGTAAAGACGGAGACCGCGACCTTCACGCTCAACGGCGGCCAGCTGCAGGTCGACGGCTCCTTCATCACCGAGGTGCATCTGGTGGCTCTGGTCGGCGGTGCCAAGCGCAAGCGCGCAACCGCTTCATTTTGGGCGTCGGAGCTGAGCGCCTACAACACTGGCTGGCGCGTTATCAATGGCACGTGCGGCGGCCGCCGCTTTGTCTTTGGCCTGGCGGGCGCACGAGCTTGCGAGGAGCTGGCCATCAAGATGGACTACTCGAGCGCGGCGTTCAGTCTCCTTGGCTGGACCATCTCCGTGCGCGGTAACCACGTGTACGGTTGGATCGCTGGCCCGAAGCACCGGCTAGACGTAAGCTTCAGCGCCGCGGATGGTGAGGCGCCTGCTCGTGACCTGCCTCACGGCATCATCGGCCAATCCTTTGCCTCGGTGGCACCGCGCGAAGGGCGCGTCGACGTCTACCCGGCTGCGGGGCGCTTTACAACCTCTTCGATGGCGGAAGGCGCAATCGAGGGCGAGGCGGCACTGTACGAGGTGGCAAGCCCCTACGAGCCGGCCTTTGCCTTTTCGCGCTTCGACGCGCCGGACTCCTCGCCGGGGGCTCATCAGGTCGGCACAACGAAGGGCGCGGGCGCCGTCGAGGCGGCAGCCTCCCTGTGAGCAAGAGGCTCCCAAACTCTCTGCTCACTCATCGCCTTGCCCTCGGAAGACGGAACTAACGCCTGCTATAGCCTACTGTACGTCAGTATACGCAAGCTTACGTCAGTACGTTCTCATGAAGAATCAAGGACACTTGACGATCGTCTCGACGGCGGGGCGCGCGTACGGCGGCGACAGATCGCTCCAGCCCTGCGCGTCAGAGAGACGAGCGCGTGGAGATACAGATAGCGCACCGAGAGACCCACGAGGCGCACGACCCAGGCTGCCGCCCAGGTATGCTATGAGCAATGAGGTAATATGTTGTGTCGCGCACACTGCACACACAGACACTGGTCCCAAACTGTGCGGGCGAGAAGCTTTTTCCGGAGACTCTTCCCCTCCAACGCACGGCCCTCTCACCTCACACTGCGGCGCAAGAGACAGCGCTCTCTGTGCATGTCTATTTCTCAGGGAGGGCGGCTAGCAGTGACTCCGTGTCCCGCCACAGCGAGCGAGCGAGCGAACTCGCGTTGAGCCCGCGGAAGCCAGGCAAGTCCAGCGCCTGACGCAGCTCTAGCTGCCCCGACAGGAAGACCCCACCGTTGGGTCCCAACTGGTCGAGTCTCTCGGCTGACGCAACGCACGCGACGAGCAGCGGCGCCACCGCGGTGGCGGCCGAGGCCATCAGGCCCAACCGGCTCCAGTCGAGGGCCCGCATGAAGGGCTGGATGTTGGTCTGGACCCACGGGTACGAGACGGCGTACGCCCGGCTCACGAAGCCGTTCTCGGCCATCGCGCGGGCGTGCAGCGTCAGGAGCAGCTTGCTGCGCGAGTAGTCCATAAGGTCGGACGACTCGAGCGCAGTGGGCGAGGGCGCCCCCGGCTTGAAAAAGTCGTTGCTGAGGCAGGGACTCACAAGCGGGGGCAGCGGGAGCGAGCACAGGTGATGAGTGTCGGAGCTGGCGTGCACAACTCGCGTCGGCTGGAGCGCCTTGACGAGGACGTGGTGCGAGACGTACATGCAGCCTGTCAGCAACTGTAGGCCCTCGTCCGTCGTTTTGCCATGCGCGCCGTTGTTTGGCATTCCCGCGTTGGCGACGAGCACCAGCTTGCCGCGCCGCGCCGCACGCCGCGTGAGGCCTCGCACCCGACGCGCCCACCGCCGGACGCTTTTCAGCGACGAGAGCTCCAGCCCCGCAACGGCACGCGCGGTGGGCGCATCCCTGGGCTCGTCCGCATTGACCAGCGCCGCGGCGGCGGCGCAGCGCTCCTCGGAGCGGCAGCCCAGGATGACGGTGGCTCCGACGCCGCGCAGCGCTCGAGCCGACGCGAGTCCGAGCCCGCTGTTGGCGCCGGTGACGACGACGGTCAAGCCTCTCTCGGCAGCCAGGCCGTTGGTCAGTGCTTGGGGAGCGAGCACGTCCCACTGGAGCACGCAGGCGACCATGGCGGCAGGGAGCGCGAGGATGGACAGCGGCGGGCGGTGGTAGAGGAGAGTGGCCACGAGGACGAGGACGAGGAGACCGTGGGAGAGGAGGAGGTGGTAGGTTTGGCCGAGGCGGAGGAAGAGGAAGGCGGCGGCGTAAGTGCAGCCGAGGGCGCGGCCGAGGTTCATGGTTAGAGAGCACTCGTGGCCAGCAAAGAGCGTGGCGAAGCTGCCCCCATCGGGCGTCTTGACGCGTATCAAAATTCTTCCCTACAAGAGGCCAACGGACCCGTCTGTGTGTCGTTCGTGCGTGTCGTCATCATCTGTCCCGCGTCCACCCATACCGCGTTGGTGCCTCCAGTCCGAGCCTGACTGCTCTTCATCTTTCTACATACATACATACATACCCGAGAACGGATAGAAAACAAGAACACAACGCGCATTTACATTTTAAAACAAGAACACAACGCACTCTCTCGCATTACACAAGGGACACTCTGACATGTCATGTCGGGGAGGACAAGAGAGATCCACCGAGCATGGGCAGCCTCAGAACCCGAGCCGGCTCCCTTCCAAGCAAGAAAAAAATCTTTTTGACCTCACTTGAGCTCGGCGGCGCCCATCAGCTTCGACAGGGGCGATGATCGTCTTGCTGGTTTCGCTCGGGCTGGCGCTGACCCGGCTTCACTCTCCGCTGATGCAGCTCCACCACTCGGGCGAAAAGATGTCAAATCACAGTGATTTAGCATCATTTGGGCTACCCGTGATGTGGACCGCTAGGTGTAACAGCAGCAACGTCAGTAACCTGGCTCCTGCGCTCCTCGCCGCCTTCCCTGCTCACTGCCCCGGCGCCCACGCCTCGACCTTCTTTGGCAGCAGCTGGTCCGAAAGGTCCTCCCCGTGGCCTAGGCAGCCGCCGCCGCCCTCGCCCCACGAGACGAAGGCGCCGTCGGCGGTGATAGCGAGGCTGTGGCAGCCTCCAGCCGACACGGCGATGATGCGCTGGGTAGCAAAGGCCTCGATCTTCTTGGGCAGCAACTGGGTCTGCATGTCGCCGTGGCCAGGCAAGCCAGAGTCTCCATCGCCCCAGCTCCAGACGGCGCCATCGGCGGCGAGGGCGAGGCTGTGGAATGCTCCTGCCGACACGGCGACGACGCGCTGGCCGGCAAAAGCCTCGACCTTCTTGGGCAGCAGTTGGCTCTGCTGGTCGCCGTGGCCCAGCCGGCCTGAGGATCCACGGCCCCAGCTCCAGAGGGCGCCGTCGGCGGTGATGGCGAGGCTCGCCGAGACAGCGACGACGCGCCGGCCAGCCAACGCCTCGATCTTCTTGGGCAGCAGCTGGCTCTGCTGGTCGCCGTGGCCCAACTCGCCACTGTCTCCATAGCCCCAGCTCCAGGCGGCGCCGTCAGCGGTGATGGCGAGGCTGCGGGACCCTCCAGCCAACATAGCGACGACGCGCTGGTCAGCAAAGGCCTCGATCTTCTTCGGCAGCAGCTGGCGCTGCTCGTTGCCGTGGCCCAACCGGCCAAAGAGTCCATAGCCCCAGCTCCAGACGGCGCCATCGGCGGCAAGGGCAAGGCTGTGAGCCCCTCCAGCCGACACGGCGATGACGCTCTGGCCCGTCAAGGCCTCGATCTTCTTCGGCTGCCACTGGTCGTGGCCGTCGCCGTGGCCCAGCTGGCTAGAGGCTCCATCGCCCCAGCTCCAGACAGCGCCGTCGGCGGTGAGGGCGAGGCTGTGGCCGCCTCCAACCGACACGCTCACAGCGCGCTCGCCACCCAGCGGGGAAGGGAGGCGGGTCGGCGTGTTGAGCCGCGTCACGCGCTCGCCGTGCCCGAGCAGCCCTGGGTTGTAATCCGGCGCCGAGCCGCACGACGAGAGCCGCCCCTCGGCGTCGATGAAGAGGCTGTGGTGCCATTCGCCTGCGGCCGCCCTCGCCGGCGGGTTGGACTCGCGCAGCAGCGCAGAATAGCACAGCCACCGCACGGCGCAGCTCTCGCCCTCTGGCTGAGCTGGCAGCTCGAAGCCGCGCTCTTGCGCCCACAAGCGGATGCCCTCCAGCGCAAGCGAGGCGTGGAAGAGCAGCGAGACGGCCGCGACGCGAGCGATGTCGGTGGGGTCGCAGTGGGCGAGGGTGCGCGCGAGGAGCTCCGTGGGGAGGTCGAGGAGGCGGGCGGGCGGCGGCGTGTTCGGAGAGGGGGCGGCGGTGCAAGCGGCTGTGGGAGGTGAGGGGGGTGGTGGTGAGGCTGGCGGTGGCGAGGCGAGGTGCGAGCGGCGGCGCGGCGGGTGGGTGGACATCGCGAGGAAAAAATAAAATGCAGCTCCAAGTGCTCCAAGTGCAGCAGCCGTCGCAACGGGCGAGCGCACCCCGAGCCGGGGCGGCACCGGTGGATCGGCCGGCCCCGACGCGGATCTTGCCAGGAAGGGAACGAGGCAGCCCGATGAGGTTCGTGCCGGCGGCAGACAGAGCAACGAAACGGGAGGAGGCAATTCGGGAGGCCGAGAAGGATCGGGCGGCCGCGGCGGCGGGCGAGAAGGCGGTCCTGGCGGAGCTTAGGGCGATAGGTCTGTCGCTCGCGGTCAGCACTGGCGTTCTCAGGCCGGTGCAGCCACGGGAAGTGCGGAGCCTGGCAAGACGACTGGTTGGCTCGACGGACCTTCTTGGGCGGGTTTTCCGGTGGGAAGGGGAGGACTACCTCGTCAACGACATTGCACCGGGACCGACGTTGTCGGGGGGGCAGGCGCTGAAGGCGTACGCCTGCTGTGTGAAGAGGCGTGTGGCATCGGCGGGCCCGCTGTCCGAACACAACTCGGCCTTTGATATCCGGTCAGTGTGGGACCGAATTGGGCGATTCGGGCGCGTAGGGCGGGCGGGGGGGGGGGGGCGGGGGGGGGGGGGGACCCAGTCCGTCTCCGCAGCCTTGCCCTTGGGGGTCTCGGCCATAGCGAAGATGCGCAGTGCGAGCCCCACTGGAGGTGGCAACTCGTCGGAGCTTCCGGGGGTAACATCTGAGGGGGAGCTGAACGTTTCCGCAGGCGAAAGGACAAGACGCATTTTAAAACAAGAACACAACGCACTCTCTCGCATTACACAAGGGACACTCTGACATGTCATGTCGGGGAGGACAAGAGAGATCCACCGAGCATGGGCAGCCTCAGAACCCGAGCCGGCTCCCTTCCAAGCAAGAAAAAAATCTTTTTGACCTCACTTGAGCTCGGCGGCGCCCATCAGCTTCGACAGGGGCGATGATCGTCTTGCTGGTTTCGCTCGGGCTGGCGCTGACCCGGCTTCACTCTCCGCTGATGCAGCTCCACCACTCGGGCGAAAAGATGTCCCGCGTGACGCTCCCCGGTTGGGAGGACGACTCGTCTCGGGAAAGCCGGACGACATCTACTCGGCCACGAGGGAGGGTTGGCCGTAAACAGGACCTCACTGCGCTGCCCGCCTCTTCTACGCGGCCGCTCGCGCGCGTTCATCACTCTCTGCAGCAGGCCGCCGCGCCAGCGTCCGCCACTGCCGTCGGCGTCGGAGACACTGCCGGCAGCATCACGATTCCGGGATGGGAGGACAGCGTCGCGAGGGAAATCAAGCTTGGCAGCGACCCGGCTAGTGCGGCGCCCCTCGTCTGCGAGGACGACGTCACGCGGCTGCTCCAGGAGGCGCGTGACGCTGAGGCGGCGCTCAAGAAGCTGGAGCGGAAGCGGCGGGCGGACGAGGAGACATTCAAGCAGCAGATCTCCTCCGAGGAGGCGACGGGCGAGAGGTACGACGCGCTGCTCGCGGCGCACATCCAGTCTCGCGACGCGGGCTACAACGCGGCGTGCGCGGCGTGCGAGGCGATGAAGCGCAGGGCGGAGCTGGCCGGCCAGCTCCTCGATGCCGAGCGGGCGACGCGCGCGAAAAAGGCAAAGGAAGACGCAGCGGAGGTGCGGTGGCGGGCAGAGCGCCGGGCGCGCGAGGGTGCGGCACGGGAGGAGGCCAGGCTTCGCGCCGCCTTTCTCGCGGCGTGAGGCGATGCGCTACGCCGACAAGGTCGGCGGACCGCAAGGCTCGGTGCGTGCCAAAACTCGCGTGTAGTGACGCTCTGCTAGGACAGAGGTGGGCGGGGAGAGGGGAGAGGCATGCGTGTGCAGGGGGCGGGACGTCATCTGTCGCCGGTGTGTAAAGTGTTTGATGGGGAGGAGGGGGGGGGTGAGCGAGGTGTGCCGTCTGTCGCCCGGGGGTGGGGCTGCAGGCTGGGGCCTGCGCGAGCTCCGTCCACAGAGGAGGATCTGCCACATTCGCTCAGATCGCGTCGCTGTGTGACCTGTACCGATGGTGTACATGAGTGTGTAAGTGCGTGAGATCCGTAACGGGCACATGGAATCACCGAGGTTTGTTTGTTACAAGACGATGTGACACACAGAGTGCATTTTTGACTCCCCTCCCCTGGCCCTGCACCTCCTGGGCGCTGGAAGGGGCGCGCGGGGCAAAGCCGTATTATCAGTCCTGTCCTCCTGAGCGGGCCAATGCTCATCCCTCCCCTCTCGCTTCCTGCGCCTGCCTCGCTGCCGCCACGAGTGCGCCCGCGACGGGCGTCCGCATCAGCTGCGGCACCGTCAGCCCTCGCACGCGGGGCGGCGCCTCGACGCCCACCGACCGCCGCAGCCTCTCCATCGCCGCGGCCGTGGCCGCGTCCGCCTCTCCCGTCTTGGCGACCGCCGCGCCCGCCGCCTCGCCCTCGCTCGAGTCGATCGCGCGCTGGAGCCGCGCCGGCGCCGTAGCCTCCGTCGACTCCACGGCCCACGCGTACCTCCTCTCGGCGCGGTGCTCGGAGAAGCGGCCGCGCACGAGCACCTACGCCGCGGATCCGGCCGCAGCCTCAAACGGGAGAACTCGCCCGCTCCGGGGCCTCGCGCCCCCACCGCCACTGGCGCGTCGCAGCCGCGGAGGAGCCGCACGACCCACTGCGCGTGGTGGGGCCCCTGGGTCGCAAACTCGCGCCCCAACGCAGCGGGCGCGCCGAGCAGCGCCGCCAAGTGGCGCCAGCTCGCCAGCACGTGGCCGCGAGCGCGCAGCGGCGCCGCGCCTAGAAGCTTCCGAGAAGGTTCCGAGAGAGGGGCTCCTACGATGCGGCCAGCGCGCGCAGCGCCGCCGCGCCGCCGGGGGCAGAGGCCGCGCAAGCGAGGATCCAGTCGACCGCGACCGCGGAGAGCCCATCCCCCGCCGTGCCAGCAGCCTCTGGCGCCGGCGCCGACCTGTCGTGGCCGCCCTCCCCCTCCGCCTCCCCCGCCCGCGTCGCGGCGTCGCCGGCGGCCGCGCCGCCGCCCCCCGGCTCCGATTCCTGCAAGCCGCCCGCCGGCGACACCGCCTCGCCCCCCCCGGCGGGGTCGGCGAGAGCGCCGGCAGGGTCCCCCGGAGGCGGCTCCGCGTCGCCATCGCTCCGGCCGAGACAGTGGCGCGCGAGCGCCGCGGCGGCAAACGGCTCCGCGGCTGGCGGCAGGTGGTGGTTGGCGCCGACGCACTTCACGCGGCAGAGGCCGTCGGCGCCGAGCAGCGGGCTGAACGTGTCGATGAGCGGCAGGCCGCGCGCGCGCGCGGCGGCGGCGAGCGCGGCGGAGTAGGCGCGCCCGTGGGCGACGCGCTCAGCCTCGGTGGGGAGGAAGAGGTGGTCGTCGAGCGCTCTGCGGAACGCCTCTCGCTCCGCCTTTGCCATGAGCGGCAGCGAGCAGAGCGCCTCCCGCAAGTGGGCGTCCACCACGCCCGTCGGGAAGGGCGTGGCGATGTACAGGTCCTGACGCGCACCAACGTAGGGCGGCGGTCGGGAGGCGGGGGAGAGGGGATCTCGGAGAACGGGGCGCCTCAGGCGCTGTCGCTCCTCGTGCCGCAAGTGGCCCGCCGCCAGCGCGCCGTCGATGAATGCAAAGTAGCGCTCGACCGAGCGCGCGAGGTGCGCCTCAAAGGTCAGCGATGCGTCGTGGACGAGCTTGAGGTAGTACACAAAGTCGCAATCCACCTGCGCGCAGCGCCCACGACGTGTCTGCGACGCGCCCCGGCCGAGGGCGCACGGCGCCACAACTCTCCAGCCTGCCCAAACTTGAGCACGACGCTGTCGCCGCGCGGGACGCGCCTGTGCGAGAGCACCATGCTGAGAAGGGACCCAACAGGAGGGACGTCCGGAACACGGACCACGGTTATCGGCTCTCGGGCAGGACACATCTCTCACTGTACGTGATTCGGGTATGGCGGCCGGCGCCACGGGCGTGGCCATCGGCGTGTGGCACGCACAGGGCGGCACGAGGCTGTGTGGCTACGGGCGCGCTCCGCAGGTCGTCGAGCAGGGCGGCGCGGTAGCCCGAGTGCGAGTCCTCCCGGGCGAGTCCCATCGCCGACCCGGCGAGGAAGACGTGCACGAGGCAGGTGTACCTGCGCGCGTGTGGTGGTGGTGGCGGTGGGGTGTACGTGGGGTTTGGGGGGGGGGGGGGGGGGGCATTGGCAACCCCCCGGCAAAGGCTGCGCGTGAGTGTGTGACCCCGAAGAAAGCAGAAGTGTCCGCTTCGCTTTTGCGTGAGCTTTGGCGTCAGCCGGGCGGACGGTGGCACGACCAGAGGCGCGCGCGGGAGGCGCGGGCGGGGCAAGCGGCGGGGCAGCCGCGGTGGGACGGCTGCGGCGGATCGGCTGCGGGGCGGGGGCGGGGGCGGGGGCCACGCGGCGTGCGCACGCACCCGGCTCCCTCTGCGTCGATCAGCGCGTGCAAGTTCGAGTCGCCAAACACGCGGACGGCGTGGGCGGCGCGGCGCGGCGGCCGGACCCGCGGCGTCGGCGGCGTCAGAGGCGGCGCTGCGCGGAGGGCCGCCTCTGCGAGGGCGGCCAACCGGCGGTGCTTGCTCCCGCTTGGGTGAATGCCTAGGTGCTGAAGACGCCAACGTCGGGGGGGGGAAGAGAGCAGTCAGTGCATTCTCTGGATACGAGGGGGGATGCAAACCAGTGAGTACAGCGGAGTGCGGTGCAACACAGCGGAGTACGTGTCCTCTCGAGCGCTAGTTGGAGTACACGTAGCTCCTATGGTTGGATGCCATCTGCCGACGCCGGCCCGCGTGGCGCCCAACCGCCTAGGCCGTCCGCCGCCTACGTTCATGAATATGCCACCCTCAAGGCGGGAATGCGGTGATGTGCAGAGTGTTCAGAGCGCCGCGTGAAAGCACGGGGCTACAAAGACAGTGAACACCGCGGAATACGGCGAGCACGGGGCTACAAAGACAGTGAACACCGCGGAATACGGCGGAGTACACAAGAGTGCGTGTCCTCTCGAGCGCTGGTTTGGAGGACACGAAAGGACGTCTTCGGCGGAGTACACGAATGCGCCTCGCGGCCGAGGTCGAGCAGCAAGCAGCGCTCGTCGCGCGGCGGGCTCACGGCGAAGCGGCGGCACTCCTCGGTCGCGTTCGTGTCGGTCGACTCGCACGCCGTGTCGGTCGACGTGTTCGAGTCGAGCGATCGCTCCGACGCGCCGCTCAGCTCGTCGCCGCCGTCCGTCGGCCCGGCGGCGTCGGCCGCGGCCGCGACGGCGCGCAGCCACTCCGCCCCGCGCTGGTAGTCGGCAAACGCCGCCCGCAGCGGGGCCGCGCAGAAGCCGCCGAACGGGAGAACGAGCGCCAGCAGCGGCGTGGCGCCGAGCGCCGCGCGCGCGCCCCACAGCCACGCGTGAGCCGCGGCGCGGACGGCGTCGTCCGCGGCGCCGCACAGCGCGTCGTTGGTGCCCTGGTTGACGAGGACGAGGTCGGGCACGCCTGAATGCGTCGTGGCTCGTGACTAGCTACTCATCACTACTGGCCGACGAGGACGAAGTCGGGCGCACCCTCCGACGCAGCGCCGCTCTCCGACGCCGCGCCGCCCGCCGCGCCGCCAAAGCGCGCCGCGCCCGCGCAGAGGGAGCGCCACGACTCGCAAAAGGCGGGCGCGCCGCCGTTGCCAGCCACCGTCCAGCCTACGTGGGGAGATATGGGGAGATGTGGGGAGATGTGGGGAGATGTGGGGAGATGTGGGGAGATATTGGGAGATGTGGGGAGATGTGGGGAGATATGGGCCTAGTTGATGAGCACCGTGTGAGTGCGAGGGGCTGCGAACACGGTGAATACGGCCGAATACGGCTGGATACAGCGGAGCACGTGTCCTCTCGAGCGCTAGTTGGAGCACAAGAGTCCGTCTTCCGCTTCTAGGCCGTCTAGCCTTGACGCCCAAACGAGACGACCGTGGCGTCGGCGCCGAGCGACTGGGCGAGCAGCCACGCCCACGCGGAGCTGACCGAGTTGCAGCCGAGGTCGCCGCCCTCGTCCGACTTGCTGCGCGTGCGGCACAGCACGCCCTCGGTGATGGAGTCGCCAAACGCGAGCAGGCGCAGCGCCTAGAAGCTTCCGAGAAGGCTCCGGGAAGGACCGAGAAGGTGATGGAGTCGCCAAACGCGAGCTGGCGCAACGCCTCGGTTGGCGGCGGCAGCGGGACGGAGCGCGGCGGCAGGACCAGCCCGCAGAGGCGGAGCGAGGCGGGCGGCGGCCTGGGCGGGGCGTCGCCCTCGGAGCTGGTGGCGCCTGGGCCGGGCGAGGGCGGAGAAGGGGTGAGGCGCCGGGGCGGAGCGCGCGGGAAATGCAAAATGCGGTGTCGCGCTGCCCCAGCGGTCGGCGCTCTGCACGGCCGCCTCGATCTGTACCGTCAGCTCGTAGACGTGCACCTCCTCGGCTGGTGGCGCCGGCAGCGCCACGAGGCCCGCCGCGTCCGCCACCGGCCGGAGACGAGTGGGAGCGCAGCCAGCGTACCGCACAGTCAGCACCATTGGCAGCGGCTCTCCGGCGCGCGACGACACGGCCAGCGCGGGCGCGGCGGGTCCATCGGCCGCCCGCCAGCGCGCGCGCAGGTAGGCGCCGGGCGCCGATGCCGCCGCCGCCGGCCGGCTGGCGTCCGCGTAGCTCTGCCAGTGCCACGCCGAGAGCTGGAGGTGGCGGTCGCTGGGCCGCAGCCAGACGGGCGCGTCGCCGTCGCGCCGTCGACGCAGCAGGCCGTTGGCCAGCGCCTGGCGCTGCGGGATGGTGCCGACCTGCGCCTCCTTTAGCCGCGCCAGGAAGTGCGTGCGGGACGCGAGGACGTCTGACTCGAGCGTCTCGAGGCTGCACAGCCCGGCGGCGGAGAGAGGACCCGCGAGCGCCTCGAGCCGGAGCGCCGAGAGGGCGGTTGAGAGTGGCTCGTCGAGGTCTGGCGGCATTCCCAGCTCTGCTCAGCGCAGCGCGTTTAGACCAAGCGAGGCTCTCAGCACGAACGGCGACAGCGCGAAGGCGGAATGCCAGCCGAGCGGCCCGCGTGTGCTGCTGAAAGCGGGCCCTGTTAAACGCTACTCGAGTGCCGCCCGCGGGCCGGATTACCGCTACCGCTTCACACCGGCGGGTCCCCACCGCTCCCGCTTACCGCGCCCTTCTACTCGGGCTCTAGCTGCGCGGCGGCCGGCCTCGCCTCGCTTCCGCCCGACTACGTCCTCAAGGCGACTCATACGAGCGGCTGCGTCGTCGTGGTTGGTTGGTCAGGGGAGGGGTGGTGGTGGCGCATAAGACTTGCCGAGGCTACGATCAGAGCGTCGTGGGCGAGGAGGCATCGCCGGCCCTGGTGCGGCGGCTATGCGAGGCGTGGCTCGCCTTTGGCTTCCAGGGGCGAGGCGGGCGTGAGTGGGCGTACTCAGCCGTGCCGCGCGGCGTGCTGGCGGAGGAGGTTCTGCCGGCGCCACACTCGGACGCGCAGGCGGTCGCGGAGGACATCAAGTGCTGGACGGCGGGCGGAAGAACCTCTTCATGCACCACACCCGCTCCCGCTTCGGCCATGCCGACAAGCGAGACACCTTTTACGACGCGCTCACGCTCGGCCCCCGCCTCGACATCCGTTTTGGGGCGGGGCCGTTCTGCGGACTCGGCCACCTCCTGGGCCTACCCGCCGCGCTCTGCCTGCCGCACGCCTCGCGCGCCGATACAAACGCCTCGCGCTGGCTGAACGCGAGCGTGGTGAGCGAGGCGGCGCGCGCGTGCGACCGCGTCGCCGCCACCACCGGCATCGACCTGCTGCTCGCCGCGCCGGCGCCGTCGCGGCCGCGCGGGCTGGTGCTCTCCGAGGTGACGCTGTACCCGTTCGGAGGCCGCCCGCATCTCTCGCCACGCTCGGTGGACGCCGCGCTCGCAAACGCGTGGTGCGAACGAAGCGGGCGGACCCTACCGCTCGCCGCTGGAGTGAGGGAGAACCAGGAAGTAAACGCCGCGAAAACAATAAAAAACAGATATTGATGCCGTTCTTATCGCAAAGAGAAAGCCTATAGCGGCGCGCGCGGCTCTCGAGATGCAGTACAGGTTGAAACCGGAGAGCCCGACCCGCCCCCAAGAGCCGAACCCCTAATGGTGGCGGGCAGCATCTCAGGCGAGGCGACGGCGGGAGCGAGTGACGCGGCCTCTTCCAGCTTACTGGGCAGCCTTCCCGCAGAGGCGGCGAAAGCGGCTGCAGAAGGCGACGAGGCGGCGCTGCTGGCGTGGCTTGACAACGACGGGCGGGTCAATGCGACCGACGGGGCGAACGGGATCACCGCGCTGATGCTGTCCGCCCGCCACGGCCAAGAGCGGGTTGTCGAGTTGCTGCTGCACCGCGGCGCGGAGATCAACCTGCAGAGCAGCGTCGGCCGCGCCGCACTGATATCCGCCGCCCGCCAAGGCCACGAGCGGGTGGTCGAGCTGCTGCTTCAGCGAGGCGCGGATATCAACCTGCAGGACAGCGAGGGCGGCACCGCACTGATGGACGCCGCCTTCAACGGCCACGAGCGGGTGATCGAGTTGCTGCTTCAGCACTTCGCGGAGATCAACGCGACCTGCTGGGTAGGCGACGTGAGCGGCTTCACCGCGCTAATGCTCGCCGCCCAGGAGGGGCACGAGCGAGTGGTCGATCTGCTGCTGCAGCGCGGCGCGGAGGTCAACAAGCAGAGGAGCGACGGCGGCACCGCGCTGATGCACGCCGCCCACCAAGGCCACGAGCGGATTGTCGAGCTGCTGCTGCATCGCGGCGCTCAGGTCAACCTGCAGAGGAGCGACGGCCGCACCCCGCTGATGCTCGCCGCCGCCAACGGCCACGAGCGGGTGGTCGATTCGCTGGTGGAGCGCGGCGCCGAGATCAACCTGCAGAATAGCATCGGCGGCACTGCGCTGATGGACGCCGCTGTGTTCGACCACCCCGCCGTCGTGCTCCGCTTGCTGCGTGCGGGCGTGGATACGAAGCTGCGCTCTGAACGCGGCAAGACGGCGCTGCAGTGGGCCAAGGAGAAGGGCCACGCCGAGTGCGTCGAGGCCTTCCGGCAGCACGTCGCGGAGGTGACTGCGAGCCAGCGCGAGGCGGCGGCGGGCGGCACGGGGCGGCGCGAGGCGGCGGCGAGAGGGGCGGGTGACGCTTCCTCGGGCGAAGCGGCCTCTTCCGGCTCGCTGGGCAGCCTTCCTGTAGAGGCGGCGAAAGCGGCTGCGGAAGGTGACGAGGCAGCGCTGCTGTCGTGGCTTGACAGCGGCGGGCGGGCCAACGCGACTTGTGGGGTAGTCGGTGTGAGCGGCTACACCCCGCTGATGCTCGCCGCCGCCAGCGGCTACGAGCGGGTGGTCGAGCTGCTGCTGCAGCGCGGCGCGGAGATCAACTTGCAGAGGAGCGACGGCTGGACCGCGCTGATGCGCGCCGCCCAGGACGGCCACGAGCGGATTGTCGAGCTGCTGCTTCAGCGAGGCGCGGAGATCAACAAGCAGAATAGCATCGGCATCACTGCGCTGATGCTCGCCGCCCAGGAGGGCCACGAGCGGGTGGTCGAGCTGCTGTTGCAGCGCGGCGCGGAGGTGAACTTGCAGGACAGCATGGGCCGCACCGCGCTGATGCTCGCCGCCCAGGAGGGCCACGAGCGAGTGGTCGAGCTGCTGCTTCAGCGCGGCGCGGAGATCAACTTGCAGGGCAGCGACGGCGGCACCGCGCTGATGCTCGCCGCCTACCACGGCAACGAGCGGATTGTCGAGCTGCTGCTTCAGCGAGGCGCGGAGATCAACCTACAGAGCAGCAGCGGCGGCATCGCGCTGATGCTTGCCGCCAACTACGGCCACGAGCGAGTGGTCGAGTTGCTGCTGCAGCGCGGCGCGGAGATCAACACGCAGGACAGCAAAGGCCGCACCGCGCTGATGCACGCCGCCGCCAACAACCACCCCGCCGTCGTGCTCCGCCTTCTGCGGGCGGGCGCAGACGCGGCGGCGCGCACCAATAAGGGCAAGACGGCGCTGCAGCATGCCAAGGAGAAGGGCCACGCCGAGTGCGTGCGCGCCCTCGAGGAGCATGCGGCGGCGGAGGCGGCGGCGGAGGCGGCGGTGAGGGAGGCGGAGAGAGCGGCGGCGGAGGCGGAGGCGACGCGGCATGCCGAGGCGCTGCTGGCGGGGGAGGAGGCGGAGAAGGAGGCGGAGGAGCGCGCCAAGGGCAAGAAGGGGAAGAAGAAGAAGAAGAAAGGGAAGGGCGGCGGGGGCGGCGCTGGGCCGTCGCAGGAGCCCGAGGATCAGGCAGCGCTGGCGGCGAGAGAGGAGGCGGAGTTGGCGGCGGCGCTGGAGGAGAGCGCGAGGCTGGAGGTCGGGGCGACGCGTGCGGCGGGGGATCAGGCGCGAGTCGCCGAGGGCGCTTCGTCACCGGCGGAGGAGGCGCCGCGTGAGGGAGAGGAGGAGCCGCCGGACGACTTCGTCTGCCCGATCACGACCGAGCTGATGAGCGACCCGGTGATGGCGGCGGACGGGCATGCTTACGAGCGGTCGGCGATCGAGCGCTGGCTCGCGACCAAGTCGACGAGCCCTCTGACGGGCGGCGCGCTCGAGCACCCATACCTCACACCCAACCACATGCTGCGCCGTCAGATCCGGGACTGGGAGGCACGGCAAGGCCACCGGGGCTTGTGTGGTGTATCCGCAGCGCGTCGCGAGTTATCAAGATGCTAAGGCCGCCAAAAAAAACGGATTGGCCGGCCGTTGATGCGCTCTACTAAGTGGTACTGTACTCTTCCGTTCGTCGTCATCACCCATAGCAGTGCAGCTCCTTCTGCGGCTCCAGCCTCCACGTCTGGCAGGATGGGGTGCGGGTTCCAGCTCAACAGCGCGCCGAGCACGCTCGCCACCGGCCGCGCCCAGTAGTCGCGCCGCGGAAAGGGCGCGAGCGCCAAGTCGTCCGCCTGGCACGCGCGCGCGCCCGCGCCGGCGGTCAGCACGGTGCAGCTGGTGCGCGTGCCCACGCGCAGCCGAATGGAGCGCCCGGCCTCCGTCGCCCGCCAGCGCTCGTCGCCGCCGGCGCCGGGCAAGTGGGTGTACACCAGCTCAAAGGCCTCGCCCTTGGCGCGCGCGTCGCGCAGCTGCCGGCGCAGCTCATACGAGCGGAAGAGTGAGCGATTAGGTGTGAATATTTAGTAAGTAGTACATGCCCCTGTGTGCTCAGGCAGTCCTCTAGTGTGCCTGGACTTGGCCTGAGCAAATAGTAGCGTTTGGGGCGTGAATTTATTTAGCCGAAGTGGACCTTGCTTGCCCCCAACAATAACACCAACTCTGTCGAACAAGGCTCAGACAATGACGAGGTGTGTGCACTCGGGTGCTGCTGTGCACTCACGCAGCTTGACCACATGCAAATGCACGTCTCTGACCGCATCGACATGGGCCGAGCGTTTTTGATCTCTGGGTCAGTGGGCGCCCACCCGCCGCCTCTGAGGGGGTCGGGCCCCCTAGACTGAAAACAAAAACAAAATGTAGAACCGTCAAAACCAGCCTGCGAGAGCGGCGCTGTGCGCCGCCTACTTCATGCGCGGTGCGGCGGGTCGTGAGTGACCCCCACGAGCCACGTGCCACGACCACGGCATCCCCAAAAATGGAAAAGTAGACCATAGTCGGATGGGCACGAACCCGCGCAGCGCCGGCTTTGAGCCACGCGCCTCGATCTTCAGAGTCGCGTGCGCTGCCCCTTCCGGCAAGGACGACGACATCGAGGGGATGTCCATTGTTGCGCGATGGCGTCATCCATTTCGTCAAAGCCATGAAGTGATTCAAAGTTAAGTCAAGGTTCCAACCCCTCCCGCGAGAAGCCGATCAGAGACCTTGCCTGTCGCCGCTGTCGAGCGCTGTCGAGCCGCTGTTGAGCACCACTCCGGTCGGCACGATGTCTGGCCTCGCAAGCAGGCTTCTCGACGCGGCACTCGAGGATGGGGACATGCGCGGCCCGCTGGGCGGCATGTTCCCCGCCGACCTCCCCGTCCCTTCGTTCGCCGACGCCCTCGCGCCGCTGAGCGACAAGCTGCCAAAGGTCGACCCGAGCAAGGGCCAGCTCGCGAAAATGGCGTGGAAGAAGGCCGGCAGCATCCAGGCCCAGTTCCCGTCTCTGACTCGCGACGAGTGCGCGGCGGTCGTTCTGTACACATAGGAGGACATGCCGCGCGACCTCTCTCCTTACTACGTGATGAATGCTGCGCTGAGGGAGAAGAACCGGCAGGCGGCGAGGCCGTGGCGAGACTTTGTGTGGCTGCTGCTGCACGCGCTGCGCAAGCTGCCGCCGAGCAAGGCGCGCGTCGTCTACCGAGGCATGTCCGGATCAGAGCTGGCTGAGGGAGCCGAGCTGCAGTGGTCGGCCTTCTCCAGCACGGCGACTAAGGTTGACGTGATGGAGGTTTTCCTCCACACGAAGGAGGCCACCGCGGGAGCACGCACCATGATCCACCTGGAGCTCACCGAGCCGGTTGGCCGCGACGTCTCTGCCTTCTCCCTCTACCCGCAAGAGTGCGAGGTGCTGCTCCCCCCCAACGTCTGCTTTGAGGTCGTGTCGCACTACAACGCCGGCAGCGGGCTCGTGATCGTGCGGGATGGAGTTGCCGGCCGACGCCGATGAGGAGCTTCAAGCCAAGATGGCGCGGCGCGGCTGCAGGTCGCGAGGGAGAAGGCGGTGAAGGAGGCTCAGCGCGAGCGCGATGTGAGCCGGCTGATCAAGCTCGGGGCGGAAACGCGTGAGTGGGCAATCGAGTTGCTTGAGCGATACGGCTCGTTGCAAGCGGCTGCGAACGTGTTGTGCGCGGCTACGGACACCTCCATTCCTTCAGAGGTGCGGAAGTGGTTGGAGCAGCTGCGCAGCGGAGGGGAGCGGCAGAAGGAGGAGGCCGCGAGGGAGCTGTGGGTCCTCGCTCGCAACGACTGGGACAACAAGGTGGCGATCGCGAGGGCGGGCGGCATCGCGCCGCTGGTGGCGCTGGCTCGCGACGGCACGGACGGGCAGAAGGAGTACGCCGCGGCGGCGCTGTGGGTCCTCGCTTGACGACGACGACCAGGTGGAAAAGGCGGGCGGCATCGAGCCGCTGGTGGCGCTGGCTCGCGGCGGCACGGACGGGCAGAAGTATCAGGCCGCGGGGGTGCTGGGGGTCCTCGCTTGGAACGCCGACAACAAGGTGGCGATCGCGAGGGCGGGCGGCATCGAGCCGCTGGTGGCGCTTGCTCGCGACGGCACGGACAAGCAGAAGGAGAGGGCCGCGGGGGCGCTGCAGAACCTCGCTGCCAACGCCAACAACAGGGTGGCGATCGTGAAGGCGGGCGGCATCGCGCCGCTGGTGGCGCTGGCTCGCGGCGGCACGGACAGGCAGAAGGAGGAGGCCGCGTCGGTGCTGTGTCTCCTCGCTTACATCGCCGACAACAGGTTGGCGATCGCGAGGGCGGGCGGCATCGCGCCGCTGGTGGCGCTGGCTCGCAGCGGCACGGAAAGGCAGAAGGAGGAGGCCGCGAGGGCGCTGCGGAATCTCGGCTGCACGAAGTCCATGCTTGGGTGGAAGATCCCCAAGTTTCTTAGTTGAGTAGAGAGATCCCCTGGGTGGCCCTCCCAGGCTCTAATTTACAGCTCAAGCCAGAGTGGCGGCAAGATTGAGTGGCGGTGCGACATTGTGTCTGTGTCAAACCCTCCAGTGTGCGTCCCGGCGACTCATTCACTAGACTCCCAGCCTGCTATACAAAACCCTCTGAGTTCGGTGCACTCTAGTTGCGGCGTCCATCGGGAGAGGAGGGCGTAGCTCGTGGGCTTTGTCGCGGCTCGGCTGTTCGGCCGGCCAGCTAGTCAGGCGCCGTCGCTGGGCGGGGAAGGGGGGGAGGGGGGAAGCGGTGGATGCGGGGAAGACCGGCCTCGTAAATCTTTTTTGCGGCCCGCTAAAAGTCGTCGAGCCCCTCCTCAAAAAAGACTGGACTCCACACACTCCCATTCACGACGAAAAATATTTCGGTTCAACAGTCTCATAGCCGGGCTAGTATCCCGCGAGCGTGAGGGAGAGCGAGGTCGGGATGAGGACAAGGCCAAAGGTCAAGAGCGCGAAGGCCGCTGTCCGCAGCACCCCTGGCTCGTCGCCGTGCGTGACGTAGTAGAAGAGGCCCGGGAAGACGAAGGTGATGGCGGCAGCGCCCGTCGAGCCGGTGATCGCGACCATTATGCCGAGGTCGGTGACGACCAGTGCGACGGCAAACGTGAAGGCGAGCAGCACAAGCATCGTCCGCAGCTCGAGGTCGTCGTTGATGAAGACCGACGGCGGAGTCTTTGGCGGCTCGCCGCCGCCCTGCAGCGTGCGCAGGATGTTGGCGAACGACTTGCGCGTCGCAAAGGTCTGGATGGGGTACGAGGTGATGACGACGATGGCGACGCCAAGGCGGCCGGCCGTGGTGAACGGGTTGACCGGGTAGCTGTTCAGGATGTTTGAGGCGACGTTCGCCCCGAACGACATGTATCCAAAGTAGGACACTGCGATGTAGAGGGGGACGACGATGGCGAGGCCGCCTGGACGGCGGCGCGGCTGGGATGCAGGATGCGAACGGGCTTGGAGGACAGGAGGGCGGGAGGGCGGGAGGGCGGGAGGGCGGGCGGAGCCGTATATCAGTGCCATCAGCCGGCCGGGCGTCGGGTCCTCGAGCTCCGAGAGGATCGGCGGCAGCGACTGCTGGCAGGTGAAGCCGTTTGCAAAGACGACGAACTTGGCAAAGGTCTCCAAGCCGGACGCGCCAAAGCTTGGCTTCTCGCCCACGCAGCTCGCATCTCCGACGGTGCCGCACGGGGAGAGCTCGTCCGATGGCTCAAAGTACACCGCCGCGACGAGGGCGGCGACGGCGACGAGGATCGCGACCTATGCGCGGACTGACGACTGTATGCTGGGGTGCCGACATCCCATCCCCCGAGGAACGTGAGCGGAAAGGCTGGCTTGGCCAAACGGTGACGCACCGCGAGGGCCGAGGTGACCCGAAGGGCGTCCATCGTCTTGAGCAGCGAGAGGGGCGCGGCGATGCCAACCGACACGGCGGTCCAGAGCCGGCGGCTGTCCACGAGGCTGCTGCCGCCAGGCGTGCCAAAGATGCTGAGGAGGTTGTCGGTGGCGACGATCAGGTAGCCGATGGCCGAGCCCAGACAGTTGCAGATGACGGCCAGCTCGACGACGACCGAGAACCTCGGCCGGACCGTGTCGCCCAGCGTGGTGAAGGACTGGCGGTGCGTCCCGAGCTTGAGCTGGGCCCGGCCGAGGCAGAAGAGGGCGAAGCCACCCATGGCGGCGGTGAGGACGAGAATGGCCAGCCCAGGGACCAGGCCGGCCGTGGCCATGCCTGCGGGGAGGGCCAAGATGCCGGTGCCCATCACCTAACAGGCCATCGCAGGGAGCTAGGGCGCCAGAGAGGGCTTTGGAGCCCACCGTAGAAGACCACCGTGTTGGCCAGGTTGACAAGCGACGAGGCCAGTGACGCCTTCTCTTCGGAAGGATCGCCGACGTAACCCGCCTCGCCGTGCGCGGATCCTGCTCCAGACGGGCGCGTGAGGTTGACGAAGGAGGCGCGCGAGGAGAGCACCCTCGCGGCTGGCACTACGGTGTCGGACGTGGCGAGCATCGCCAGCTCGGCCGCATGCGCCAGTTCGGTTTTCGCCGACTCCCTGTTGACCGTCAGGCTAGTCCGCCCGACCCTGGCGGTGAGCGCTCTTGCCCGTTCGCTCTGCTTGGTAGCTGCGTCAGCCTCGCGCTCGGCGCGGTCGATTGCGAGGTGGATCGTGGCGTGGATGGCGGTCGGCGAGGATGTCTGCATCGCGACTCTGTGTGGTAAGAGGCGGGCGCCTGAGCGGTCTGCGCCGTCTTTTGCGCAGCGTTGGAGCCTCGAGCTCGCCGAGGCGGTCGGGCTGGGCCGGCTGTGTGTGGGGTATGTGGGGTATGGAGTCGAATCGAGCGGCGGCTTCGAATCTTTTTTCTTCTCCCCCAAGGGAAAGCTCAAGGAGCAGCCTGGCGATTACCCCTTTGCGCGGCAGCAGGATTGCGATCTACGTTTGTTTGATTTTGAGGCTTTCGGAGGCTTTGGAAAGGAGGTTCGCAGCACCCTGAGGGAGGCGGCGAACCAGCTGAGCAACAAACTTTCGCACGCTCAGCACCTGGACGAGGTCACATGGACCACCAAGAACTGGCACGGGCTGCAGATGCAGCGCTTGTCTGTCGTCCTCCACACCGCCGTGGCGTGGCAGACGGTGAACGAGCTAGCGTGCGGGGAGAGCGGCATTGTGCATGGTGCGGAGTGCATTGCCGTTCTTAACGGAGTCGCTTAGGCGGCTCCGGTGGTGAGCCTGTGTGTGTACCAGTCCGCGCCAGTCTGCGCCCTTGTCGTGCCAGTGTGCTGTGAGAGAGGCTTGTATCTTAAGAATTCTTCTCCCCGACGGCCCAGAAACATTTGTGTTATCGTTGTTCTTGACCTCGAAGTGCCGACGCTCGCGCCGAAAATTAAACTCAGGAACTGCTGTGTCAAGTGTCTGTTTTTTGACACATCGGATCCTGCTCCGCTGGCAGAGGGCGGCGCTGGTACGAGCGAGCGCCGCCATGGAGGTAGGTTGACGCAGACAGTGGCGAGGGGGCCGCTGCTGCGGGCGGGCGGAAGGCACCGCGTCGCCGCCGAGGGCGGCGCCGTGGCGCCAAGGACCACAAAGGAGAGTTTGAGAATGTGCCCGACACCGAGGCGGCGAACCACGGAACGACGCCCCCCCCTGCCATCTCTGGTGGCTCTGGAGGCTCCGCAGAGGCGGAGCCCCCTGGGGGGCCTCGTCCCACGTATCTTTGCGGCGTAACCATCACCTCGGCTACAACGGCACAGGTCTCCTCTCCTTCTTCCTCTTGGCCGTGCGGGCCCGACTCGGAGCTGCTGCCGTTTGAGCTCACCGTACACCGAATACGCGCGGCTCTATATAAGCTCCAGGACGAGATGCACGTGGCGGCACAAGAGGAGGAGGAGGAGGAGGAGGAGGACGAGAGGGCGCTTAGGGCCGCCACTCCACTTACACGGCCCCTCTCTCCCTCGCCCCTTGCCTTTGTTGTGCCTTGTGTGCCTAACAGCGCTGTGCGATTGCTACCAGGTGGGATGGGTCGCCTTTTGGTCGCTCCTCATGTTCTTCGGGCTCAAATTTGCTGGCATGCTCCGCGTCTCGGAGGAAATCGAGATGGCGGGCATGGACGTGTCCAAGCACGGCGGTTCCGCATATGCTGGAAGCGAGGGCAAAGCGTAAGAGTTTGTGGCCGCGGCCTTGTACATTTGGATTATTAGCCTGGTCGGCTGGTGTGCAGTCCATCCGGTCCGAGATGGGAGGACGCGCCTGAGATTCATAGTTGGACGAGTGCCGAGTGGCGCGGCTCGTCCCTCCAAGCCACAAGCGTTGCGTAGCGATTGCTTAGACTCGGACTCGCGCAGCATGTTGATGACGTCCCTGACTTTTCATGATTAGGAACGTTACCATGTCGTGTGACTGTGCTTGTGAGTTGTGTATTGGACATAAGGGTGGTAACTCCGAGTGGCAGTTGTCAGATATCAGATATACACACAGATTCGCGTTCTGGTTCACGGTTCATATTTTTGGGATTTGGCGCCGATGCGTCATGGGGCATGGCTCATGCACACGCGCACCGCCACCGGTCGGAACACGGAAGTTAACGCCGCGGGGTGCGGACATTGCTCTCTCTTTGCTGAGTTCGGGGTTTTCGTTTTGGGAAATTTTGCTTGCCGCTAGAGGCCAAGCGAGATAGCGAGTGATAAGCGTACCCGGCGTATACTCTACTCTCTCTAGTCTCTACGGACTACGCTCACGGGAAATATCCTCAACGCCAAGCTCTCAGCCGCCACGTCTGAAGTGTTTAGCGCGACACACCCAACATAGTCTCCGATCATAATCGCAAAACGTTATATCTGGGAGTGTGATTACGCTCACTCGCCCCCCGCCACGGTCGCCTCAAACACGCGGATCGCCCGGTCGTCGCCCACTGAGCAGAAGCGGCCGCCGCTCGGGTCGAAGGCGACGCCCCACGCCTGGTCCGAGTGGCTGTCCGCAAGGGTCTGCACCGAGGCGCCCGTCGTCAGGTCCCAGTTGCGCACGGTCTGGTCAGAGGAGCAGGTGACCACGTGCGAGCCGTCGGCGGAGAAGGCGGCGCCGAGCACCCACGAGCCTGCGTTGCGAGGCCATCACCGCGTGGAGACGAGGGGCTACAATGGAACACAGCGGAGTGCATCGGAGTGCAGCGGGAGACCGCGGGATGCAGCGGAATACGCGTCCTCTCGAGGTAGGTTGAAGACAAGGGTCTGTCGTCCGCGTCTAGGCCCACGAGCCGTGCCCCTGTAGCGTATAGAGCTGCCGTCCCGACGCGGCCTCCCACAGCACCGCGCGCGAGTCCTCCGAGCCGGAGAGCACCTGAGGGCGTGTGTGTGTGTGTGTGTGTGTGTGTGTGTGTGTGTGTGTGTGTGTGTGTGTGTGTGTGTGGGCGGGCGGGGCGGGCGGGCGGAGGGCGGCGGCGCGCGAGGTGGGCGGAGGGCGTCGGCGGGAGCAGAGGGTGTCGGAGGGGAGCGGAGAGTTGTCGCGTGTCGGGGTCTGCGTGTCAGGGTTAGTGTGTCGGGGTTTGTGTGTAGGGTTAGCGTGTCCGTGTTAGGGCTAGCGTGTCTGTGCTTGGGTGAGCGTGCTAGTAGGGGCGCCGTCTTGCCGTCGCGCGAAAAGGCGACGCATCGCACCGCCACCGCGTGCGCCTCCATCTTTGCGACGCGCTGGTACGGCGCCTGCGGTGCGGCGTGGGCGGCGGCGTGGGCGGAGGGGTGAGCCGAGGCGTGAGCGGAGGCGTAGGCGGAGGCCGTGGGCGGAGGCGGAGGCTGTGGGCGGAGGCGGAGGCTGTGGGCGGAGGCGGAGGCTATGGGCGGAGGCGGAGGCTGTGGGCGGAGGCGGAGGCTGTGGGCGGAGGCCGTGCGGCAGAGGCGGTCTGGTCTGCCGTTGGCAGAGCAGACGCGTGTGGCTTTGGAGGCGAGCGCGGAGCCGAGTGGCGGGGGAGGCGGTGTGGAGGGCGGCGCGGCGGGGCGGCGTGTCTCTCTGGAGGCATGCGCGCAGCCGATCGGCGGCGCGCCTCCATCTCGAAGACATGCACGCCGCCGTCCTCTGCGCCGGCGGCGAGCAGCGCTCCGTCCGCAGAGATAGCGGCGCAGAGAACGATGCGGTCGCTGCCGATCGAGAGCGAGGCGGTCTTGCTGCCCGAGGCGGCGTCCCACAGGCTGATGCCGCCCATCGAGCCGGCGGCGACGGTCGCGCCGTCCGGGCTTAGCGCGACGCCGTACGACATAGGCCCGCAGTCAATCTCGAGATTGAGGCTGCCCGTGTCGAGGTTCCAAACGCGGATGCGCGAGTCGAGCGCGGCCGACGCGGCGACGGCCACGTCCGCCGCGACCGCAACGGCGGTAACGCCGAGCTCGTGGCCCGTCAGAGTGTGCCGCCGCTCAATTTTCGCTCCGTTTACTTCATAGGAGTGGACGGCCTCGTCGGCGGAGCCGGTGACGACCAGGCCGTGGCCCCACGCGACGCAGGAGATGCCACCCTCGTGCGCGTTGAGCTGCGAGGCGGTGGGGTGGTAGAGGGTGGCCATGTGTGTTCCGACGCGCAACGATGGCAGGCAGCATCCAAAGAGAAATCCCGTGGCGTACCTGTGGCGGTCAATTTCTTTCCACGGCGGTGCAGAAAATCTTATGTACCTGTTGCTGTCAATAACATTCCTACATGCATGTAGGAAGCCTCGATGTAAGTGGGGCGGGTTTGCTGCTGCGAGAAATTCCGCCGGCCACCGTATCTGAGTCGTTCTTCACACCGCCATCGCAGAGCAGATTGTGAACGATAAGGTTTTTGCTCGCCTTCCCTGGGACCCCGTGTTGCGTGACTGTCTCTGAACTCTGTGCGATTTCGGGCCGGGGGTTGTGCGTTTATGTGAACACCCCCCTGCGCGCGGGCGGGCCTTCTAGGCCCGCGGGTAGTCTCCCCCCATCCCCAGGGCCTCCAGGGCTCGCACCTCAACCTCTCACAGACCAGCGCACAGCGCCGCCTCCCGCATTTTCTTCTCAATAACAAGGTGTGAATGAAGGAGCTTGCCTGTGGGGTAGTCCTCCTTCGAGGAGGTGTGAAGGAGCTTGCCTATAACGAGCACGGAGCACTTGGAGCGTCGCCGTCGTCGCAGGAGTCGCTTAGGCGGCTCCCGTGGTGTACCTGTATTGTGCCAGTGCGCGCCAGCCCCGTGCCTAGTGTCGTATGCTCGCCGCCGCCGCCGCCGCCGCCGCGTTGGTCTTCCCTCTGCCGGCGCATCACCGCATGTGCGCGTGCGAACCGGCCCGCCGCGTGCGAACCGGCCCGCCAACAATGGCTGGCGTCGACGAGGAGGCGCCGATGAGCAAGGCCGAGATCGACGCCTGGCTGGCGGCGCAGACGGGCGCCATTGACGGCCGGGCGCAGGAGCTGCTCGACGGCGCTGGCGTGACCGCGCCACCGCCGTTGCCGGTGGCGGGAGAAATGGAGTGGGGCCGCTGGTCGCAGCGCGGCGCGGCGCTGAGCTTCGAGCTGCGTGTGCCGGAGGCGACGCGTGCGGCCGACGTGCGTTGCGAGTGCCTCATCGGCTTCCTCGACGTGCGCGTGAGAGACGAGCCTCTCCTGTCGGGCCGGCTGGCGGCGGCCGAGGCTCGCCAAGACGCCGCAGAGTGGCTGAGGGCGGATCAGAAGTCGACCTTTGGCCCTTAGGAGGTGCGGCCGACCGAGCTCGAGTGGCTGCTCGACACGACGGCGGAGGGCGAGAGGTGGTCGCCCTAGATGTTGCGCTCCGTGTCGCCCCGCCACGTGGGACGCCGGTCGAGACTGCCGCCGCATATCACGCTCTGCTCCACCGGTCTCTCCTCCCGTCGCCGTGCAGGTTGCTGTGCGTCGAGCTGCCGAGGCGCGCGCCGCCGCCGGAGCAGGGCCGGCCGCCGCCGACGCCCATCTTTCGGTCGCTCCGCGTCGCCGGCGTGGAGGTCGCTGAACCGGGCCTCGTTGAGGAAGCGGCTGCGCGCCAGTCCCGTGCCTAGTGTAACAGAGAAAGGCAACAGAAATTTCTTTTTTCGGCGGCGCTGCTCCGCAAAAACATGCAAAGAGCGCCCGTGCAGCGCAGCTCCTCGCCCTCCCTGCTGGAGGAGCGCAACCAGCAGCTCGAGACGAATCTGCGCTTCGTCGTCCAGCAGCTGAGCCAGCGCGCCGAGGATGCGGTGATGGAGCGGCTGGACGCGCTGCTCGCGCGCAAAGAGCGCGACCTGCGCCACGCGCTGCTCCGTGCGCAGGCCCGCGACCTGTCGCCCACGGAGCGGCTCGAGGAGCGGGTGGGCGTCCTCGAGCGCACCTTTGCCGCGGCGGTCGCGCTGCTCGGGCAGGCTGACGACGCGCCCGCACAAGCCGCCGCTGCCCCAGCTAGCAGCGCGGCAAGCCCCTTCAGCCCGCACCCGTGGGACTCCCGTGGCGCGCCGTACGCCTCGCCCGCGCCGCCGCCGCAGACCCCTCCGCCAGCCGCCGCGCGCAGCAGCAGTCGCGAGGCGGAGCTAGCGAAGCAGGTCGAGGTGCTGACTGCCGAAGCGGGGCGCCTGAAGGCCGAGGTGGCCGAGGCGACGGCCGCGGCCGACAAGGCGAGAGCGGAGGCGGCGCGGCGCGTGCACGCCGCCGAGGAGGAGGCCTCCATCTCCAAGGCCGCCGCCGCCGCCGCCGCAGCCCGCTCGAGGGACCTGGAGGAGGCGGTCGAGGCTGCTCGCGCTAGAACACGAAGGCGTATTCTCGCATCTCAACTGGCGCTCGAGAGGGGGCGTATAGCGCTGCATTTCTGCCGTATCCAGCGGCATTCGCCTCCCTCGGGCTCACGCGGTGCTCGGAGTGCACTGCACAACACCGCCCTCCCCCGCCCCCACGTTGGCGTCTCAGGCGGCCCGCGAGGCGGAGCGGTATGCTGGGCTGCAGGCAAAGATGGAGGCGGCGCGCGCCGAGGAGTCGGCGGCGGAGGCCGCGGCGCTGCAGACGCGGCTCAAGCTGTCCGAAGCGGCTGCGGCGCGCGACGCGGTGTGGCGCGCCGCCCGCGCCCCTCGTTGTCCCGCCGCACCTCACCCCTCCCGTCGCGTATGCAGGCGTCCAGCAGCGGCAGCGGGAGCGGTAGCGGTGGCGGGTCGCACGGCGGCGAGGAGGCGGGAGACGAGCCGGAGGGGGCGCCGCCCGCCACGGCTGCCCCCCCGCCGCCGCCGCCGCATCCTCCTCCTCCTCCTCCGCCGCCGCCGCCGCCGCCGCTTCTGAAGGGCGGATCCGCCAACGGCGTCGCGGGCGTACGCCGGCTCGTCGGGTCGCTCACCCGAATGTACGTTGCGCAAGAGATGCGTGCGGCGGCGGCGGCGCGAGAGCAGGCTGCTGCGGCGGGGAAAGGGCCCGGCGGCGGCGGCGGCGGCGGCGGCGGCGGCGGCGGCGGCGGCGGCGGCGGCGGCGGCGGCGGCGGCGGCGGCGGCGACAATCTCAGCGGGGCGGAGGCCGTGGCCGACAGCGAGAGCGGCGGCTGTACGGGCGAGCTTTCCTCCTCCCTCCTCCCTCCTCCCTCCTCCCTCCTCCCTCCTCCCTCCTCCCTCCTCCCTCCTCCCTCCTCCCTCCTCCCCCCTCCCTCCCCGCTCCCCCCTCCTCCCTCCTCCCTCCCCGCTCCTCCCTCCTCACTCCTCCTCACTCCCTCCCTCCTTAGGCGCCGTGGCGGCGGAGCTGGAGGCGGCTCTCGAGGAGTTGCGGGCGGAGAGCGAGGCGAGGAGGCGCGAGGAGGCGCGGTAGAGCTCTACCGCCTAGCGGGAGAATACTTGTTCTTGTACTCCGACCAGCGCTCGAGAGGACACGTACACGCGCTTGTATTCGTCTCCTCGTACCACACGCGGTGCCCCGCGTGCTCTGCACCATCACCGTATCCCCGCCCTGACCGTGGCGCATTCACCCAGGCGCGGTACGACCGCGCCGCCTGCGCGCTGGTGCGCACGCGACGCGCGCTCTTGGGCGGCGTGCGTGCGAGCGTCCGGGCGCAGCTCGAGACGGCGGAGGCGGGGCGGAAGTGGTGCGTTGACGCCGCCGCCTCGCGGGCATGCGACGACGTTTTGCGGTGAGTGTCTTCGGGAGCACTGTCCGCTGTAGGGTACCTCCGCCGAGGCTGCCTCCGCCGGCCGGCTGGCAGCCGCACACCGGCAGGGATTGCGCCCTGCGCGTGGACCAGGCGGACGGACACACACACACACACACACACACACACACACACACACACACACACACACACACACACACACACACACACACACACACACACGCTCACACACGCACACACACACAACACACACACACACACACACACACACACACACACACACACACACACACGCACACACACGCTCACACACACACACACACACACACACACACACACACACACACACACACACACACACACACACACACACGCACGCACACACACAACACAACACAATCTGGCGCGGTCCCCACCGCTGCCCCTCTGACGATCGCACTTTCGTCTTTGTGCACTGCCACCAGGTCTGTGGTGATGCCTCTCCCTGAGAACGCACACAACGCCTCGTGTGCAATGCCCCCGTGTGTGTTCCGCTAGTGCGTCTGCCCTGTCGACCGTGCTTGGACGTGTGTATCACTGACTGCCTGCCTGCCTGCCTGCGAGGACCAGGCGGGCCGCTTGGCGGGAGGGTACGGCGCCGACACGAGCGGCATGCTAGAGGCGGAGCAGCTGGAGGCGGAGATCGACTTCTCGACGCTCAAGGTTGAGGGCGAGGAGGAGGGGGAGGAGGAGGGCGGGGAGGGGTCGCCCGACACGCGGCTGGCGGACTTTGCGATGCTCGTCGGCGGCGGCGGCGACGACGCGGACGAGGAGGAGGGCGAGGACGACGAGGCGGCGGCGGCGTCGCTCGTGGAAGAGGTTGCGGCAGAGATGGCGGCGGAGGTGGCGGCGAGGGCGGCGCAAGCGGCGCCGCCCGAAGAGCCGCCGAGCAGCGTCGAGCCCCGCCTGGCAACTACGCCGCAATTTAGGGCCGACGCGCCGCCGCTTGACTCGCCGCCCGAGGCGCCGCTTGAGTCGCCGCCGCCGTCAGAGGCGGTTGAGCCGCCCGAGGAGGCCCCGTCGGAAGGTCTTCCGGCACCGCCGCCCGAGGCTCCGCCCGAGGCGTTGTCGCAGGCGCTGACCGCGCCGCCGCTTGACGTGCCGAGCGACGCAACGGAGGCGCCTGAGGCGGGAGGGGACGCATTCGTGCACGAGGCCGTGGACGATTTGCCCGGCGACGAGGATGGGCCGGATGGGTCGGTCAAGCAGTGGATGCCGTCTGCCCCGCCGCCAGAGCACAACGCGAGCGAGAGCGGTGTGGCGCAGCTGCCACCGCTCGAGTAGCGATCTCTGCAGACGCGCCTCGTGATATTGATGTGATTCGTGAGCGCTAGGGCGCTGGGGCTGGGTGTGGAATTTGGCGAATTTGGCGAACACGGCGCGTGAGATCTGTAACTGCGGTGTGCGGAAGCGCGTGCTGCATTTCTATCGTTGTGCTTGCTCTATAGCCTGTTGTCGGGTTTCTCCGAATCGATTCTCACACATTCACATATCCACGCCGATTGTCCGGATTCCGCGCGAGGGCGGAAGAGAGGTCTGCCTGGTCCGGTTTTGGCTGTTCCACGCGTGCTTTTCAGCCATATCTTGAGGTATGGCTGAAAACATACACGACGCCGCGCGTATCGTCCAGCGTGTGTGCGCGCCACATTACCCCCCAAACACCGCACGCGCAGGCGCCTGTGCTGCCTGTGTGTGCGCGTGAGCTGGCGTGATGGCCACAGAGCTGTTGGTGCCCGCCCGCGTATGTGCCGCAATATGCAGGGTTCGTCGCCGCATGACTGGATCTGGCTGGGTTCGCCGGCGCTGGCCTCCTTGTGCGGGTTTGTATCCCGATTTTCGAAATTGGCCGTCTCAGCTATCGCATCTCCATCGGCTGAGGCGGCCCGACCGGCGGTGTGACAGGATCCTCTCCGCCACCGCCGTCGCCAGGAGACTCGTTGGGATAAAGGCATCTGCCGCACGCGCCTGTAAGGGATGGCACGCGACAGGGTTGGAGTTGAGGGCGACAGGGTTGGAGTTGAGGGCTGGGCGCGCCATCAGCTCGAAAGAACGGGCAGCACGGGTGGAGGAGGCAGCAGGTATAGAAGCCGATGCACTGGCACGGCCCCTCCAGCGGGCCGGGGCAGTTCCGCATGCACTCCGGAGCAACATTCCGCATTATCGACAGCCTTGGCGGGCAATGCACGCAGACCGCGAACCTGGGTTGCAACTTTTTGCGGGTATGGTCCGCCTTGATATGTGCCTTCCTCGTAAGCGGCCGGCGGGGGGCGAGGGGGGGGGGGGGGGGTATGGCCCTGTCGGCGGGAGGGGCTTGGTCTGTCCGAGCGGGTGGGGGGGTATGGTCTTCAGGAGGCAAGGAGGATGGTACCATGTCAGAGACCCGTGTTATGGCCCTGCGAACGCGCACCCCCCAGGGCCAGGGCGCTCTAGCCCGTAACCCGATGCCAATCATCCGGCCCGCTGGGTCTGCTTCTTAGCCCCCCGGCCCTGGATGTGAGGTTACCGACTGCACTCCAAAAGTGCTCCAAGATACCGCCTTACCGCCCGCAAAAAGTCCGCACGGCAAAGAGCAACAGAAAATAAACCCGGCCCGCCCATTTAAAAAATCACAGACACGGCGGGGCCTGCGCGCGGAGCTGGAGCTGGCGGCACATAAAGACTTCAATTTAAAGAAATTCACAATTAACTCATTCGAAAAACAAAAGGCGGAAAAACGTCGCCGACCCCACAGCACACACCCACCGAATGCACAAAGAACCCTGCACAAAGATTGGCCGGGCGGGGCCCTGATTTTTTTTCCCCCCCCCCATAATAAAATAAAACGGACACCTCTACTAGGAGATGGGTAAAAAGGAACAGGTCCCCGCCCTGCGGTCTTTGTGCAGGGTTCTTTGTGGGTGTGGTCGGCGACTAGCCGGGGTCGTCCTCCACCCTGAAGCCCGCCCAGCAGCTGAACCGCTCCCTAAGTCGAAGGAGCATCATCAGTCTCACCCACTTCGCTCGCTGCCCACTGTCTCCGCTCCCTCCCGCTTGGGCCGCCGTCGTGGCCCTCGTTCGTCCCACTGGCTGTTGGCCCGTCCCCACGTTACCTCGGTTATCCCTCCTCCTCCGCGACTCCCTCAAGGCTGGCCGGGCCTCCTTCCACCCAGCTCACAGTAGAGGTGTCCGTTTTTATTTACAAACGCGTGAAAGAAAAATTGTCAGTAGACAAAGAGTCCACTCATCCCAGGCTCCGCACCCCAGAGATCTTCGTCCGATTCAAACACATCCTCCTCGTGGTCGTACTCGCCCGGCGATACGTAAGGCCCCGGAAAGGAGTACGTAGAGAGCCAGTGGAGATGCCGCTCCGCTGGCATTTGATGCGGCTGGTGGAAGTGCTCATCTCGGAAGCGCGCCGGCAGTTCGCTCACGTCCAACATCCAAAGCTGCTCGGCGGGCTTGGCATCTTCGAGCCGCTGGAAGAGCTCGACCAGGAGCGTCAGCGCATGCTCCTGCTCGTCGGCATGCTCCTCACGCTGCCGCCCGACTTGTTGCGCACCGCGCCGATGCCGCGGCCGAGGAGGGCGCCGCCGCCGCGTCGGCGCTGCCGACGCCGAAGCAGCCGGGCGTGCGCGGTATCGTCACGGCGCACAAGTTCCTTCCGGAGGATGAGGGCGAGGAGGAGGAGGGCGGCGAGGAGGGCGGCGAGGAGGAGAGCGGCGAGGAGAGCGAGGGCGAGGAGAGCGAGGGCGAGGAGAGCGAGGGCGAGGAGGAGGGCGAGGAGGAGGGCGAGGAGGAGGGCGAGGAGGAGAGCGGCGGCGAGGAGGGTGGCGAGGAGAGCGAGGAGGAGGAGCTCGAGGTGCTCGAGACCGCCCCGACCAAGCCGCCGAGCAAGCTGCCGGCCAAGCCGGCCAAGCGCGGCCGCGAGGCGCCAGCCGCCAGCGCCGCAAAGCCAAAGGGCAAGGCGGCCGACCGAGGGGCCAGCCGAGGGCGGCTCGGAGGCGGCGGCGGCGTGAGCTGGGACGATGTGTTTGGGAGCTGAGGACACGTGTGGGACCGGAAAGCGGATGATGAGCGCGAGTGGTTGACGGCGTTGCCGGCCGGCTCATTCGAACGATTTCCACGAGAACTTCGAGATGGTCTTTTTCAGCCCCCCGCTCGCGCGCCAGGGCCCAGGCCCCCAAGCGCCCAGGGCCCCCCGCCCAGCTGGTCCGCCGTGTAGACGATGGGGCCCTCCACCCCCCCTTTGCCCGTCGGGTGGATGACGACCGCGCGGTTGTCCACCAGCGCCGAGATCATGAACGCCGCCTCGTCGTACTTGAATCCGGGGCAGGCCATGGCAGAACACCACATCTCGAAGGTGGGCTCGGCCTCGTATTGGTGGGCGTATCCACGGAAGCTCCTTGCGACCGCTTGGCTGAGGGAGATAGTCGTTTTCGCCGGAAATTCTAACAATAGGAGCCCCGGGTTTTCCCGGGCAAAGCGAACTAGGTCAGCTCTCCGCTCTCCCGTCTGGGACCGGCCGGGCCTGTCCCGGGTTCCGTCATAGCTTGTGCGAGGGAGTTTTGTTGTAAGATTCTTTTTCTCGCGATGTCCAACCCGCCGCGCCGCTCGCGCCGCCGCGCCGCCCCCGCCTCCACCGCCGCTTCCTCGCCAATCACGCCGACGCCCATCCGCCTCCTCGAGCTCCCCACGGAGCTCCTCGCGCGCGCCCTCTCTCGCTGCAACAGCCCCGCCGACATCGCTCGCGTCGCAGCCGTCTCGCTGCTCTTCCACGCCTCGCTCGCGGTGGAGGCCATCCGCTTGTGGGCGCAAGAGCGCGGCTTCGAGCTGCCTGCGCAGCCAGAGGGCGAGGGCTGCGCCGTACGGTGGCTGTGCTTTTCGGCGTTGCTTTGCGAGTCCAACCCGCCGGAGAGGGTGGCGGCAGGCCTTCAGCACAGCCTCTTCATCGACGGCGAGGGGCGGCTCTCGTCGTGCGGGTCAGCGGCAACGGAGGACGAGGAGGGCGAGGAGGACGAGGAGGAGGAGTTTCCCGGCCTTCTCGGCCACGGCGAGGGCGTGACGCAGCTCAACACGCCGACCCGCCTCCCTTCGCCGCTGGGCGGCGAGCGCGCTGTGAGCGTGTCGGTTGGAGCCGCGCACAGCCTCGCCATCACCGCCGACGGCGCCGTCTGGAGCTGGGGCGAAGGAGCCTGGGGCAAGCTGGGCCACGGCGACCTGCAGGACCAGCTGCTGCCAAAGAAGATCGATGCCTTTGCTGGCCAGCGCGTCGTTGCTGTGTCCGCGGGATGCGACCACAACCTCGCCCTCACCGCCGACGGAGCTGTCTGGAGCTGGGGCTTTGGAGGCTTCGGCCGGTTGGGCCACGGCGACCAGCAGCACCAGCTGCTGCCCAAGAAGGTCGAGGCCTTTGCTGGGCAGCGCGTCGTCGCTGTCTCGGCTGGAGGCAACTACAGCCTCGCCCTCACTGCCGACGGAGCTGTCTGGAGCTGGGGCGAGGGAGGCTTCTTTGGCCCGTTGGGCCACGGCAATCAGCAGCACCAGCGGCAGCCAAAGAAGGTCGAGGCCTTGGCTGGCCATCGCGTCATCGCTGTGTCGGCTGGGTGGATGCACAGCCTCGCCATCACCGCCGACGGCGCTGTGTGGAGCTGGGGCGGTGGAGAGCAAGGTCGGCTAGGCCACGGCGACCAGCAGCAGCAGCTGCTTCCCAAGAAGGTCGAGGCCTTGGCTGGGCGGCGCGTCGTCGCTGTGTCGGTTGGATACGGCCAAAGCCTCGCCCTCACCGCCGACGGCAGCGTCTGGAGCTGGGGCGATGGAGGCTTTGGCAAGCTGGGCCACGGCGACGAGCAGCGCCAGCTGCTGCCCAAGAAGGTCGAGGCCTTGGCTGGGCAGCGCGTCGTCGCTGTGTCGGGTGGAACCGTGGACAGCCTCGCCCTCACCGCCGGTGCCGTCTTTACCTGGGGTAAAGGCGAGCGCGGCATCCTAGGCCACGGAGAGGACCTGTCGAACCAGCTGCTGCCCAAGAAGATCGAGGGGTGGGCGCCGGGGCAGTGAGCAGGAGGGTGTGGGTGCGAGGGGCCCCTTACCCGCCTGAGGCTGAGCGAAGTACTGTTTCGTTCGTGGTGGATGGGCCCACATATTGGCGACATGCACATGTACATGTTGTGCATGCAGTGGCACTCTTTGAACGGTAGACGAAAGACGTGCCGAAGAAGGAGAAGTCTCTAACGAGAGACCGCGACACTCAGTATATTTACCAAGGTATAAGATTACGTAAGCTGGCGCTCATGGGTCAACGCACAACGGCCTCGAGGCGAGAGTACTGCTTAGTAATGTGTGTACGGCAAGCTAGGGGACGCGCGACTACACAAGTTTGAGGCTATTTTGGCCTTCAATCCTTTTCATGTTTCGCTTTGTTTCGCTCGAAGTTTCGAATTGTTCGCCCATGCCGTCGGTGCCGAGCAAGAAGTCCTCCTTGTCACGCACGGCTTCATAAATGACCCTCTCGCCCTTGTCCTCGATGGGGTTGCCCTCGATGCGGAGCTGTGCAGGCAGCACAGACACGCGCTCAGAGGCATGCACAGCGAGGGGCAAGCAGGCGGCACGCACCTTCGTCATCGATCGGTTGCTGCTCCCCTCTCTGCCGCCCCCCTTACCCGTGTACGTACGTGGAGTACAGTGTTGTGTGTCCGTTAGCTCCGAGTAGAGGGGGCGTTCTGCAGTTAAGGGGAAACCCGGTACACGGAACTAACCCTCGGAGACCCGTGTTTACTTTACAGCCCTTGCCCTGCGACCGCGCACCCCCGGGGCTAGGGCTCTCTAGCCCGTAACCCGATGCCAATCATCCGGCCCGCTGGGTGCGCTTCTTAGCTCCCCGGCCCTGGATGTGCGGTTAATGACTGCACTCCAAGTGCTCCAAGAAATTCGTCAACGGAATGCCATCCTACGAGAAGGATGGCGACCCAAGCGTGGTGGTGTGTGGTGTGGTATTGTGACGGGTGGAAGTAGGTGGGTCACGCGAAGAAGCAAGGCAGCAAGAGCTGCGGCATCAGCTGCCCCGACGACAGCTTTGCTCCTGAACCGTCGCTCGGCCGCTCATGGCGCGTCCTCCTGCCGGGTGGTGCAGGCTGGTGCGACGCGCCCGACGTGAGCTGCAGCGCGGGCGCCGCGCTGGACGAGGAGATCAAGCGGCCAGAGGCGAAAAGGAAGAACCGGCAAAGGCACGACAACGCCGCCGCAGGCCAGCAAGTGCAGCTCCAGATGCAGGCGCCACAGCCAGCCGTCATGATCGATCCATCGCCGCTTGCTACTAGCATGGCAGTCGTGAACGACCTTCAAAACGTCACGCTCCGTCGGCGAGACAACCAAGTAGTCGGTCGGAAAGTTCTTGCTCCCGGGACGACGACTGGCTGCACAGCTTCGACAAGTTCTTTAAGGTCACGTCGTGAGGCGAGGGCGGCGACGGCGGCGGTGGTGAAAATGGCGGCGCGCGCATGGCGCGCCGGGTGAAAGATGTGCACATGCACATGCTACATGACATGTACATGTACATGTGAATGGTATATGTGATTCGTTAGCCCTAGCAAGCAGGACACCTGCTTGCTTGCCTCTTTTTCGTAAGTAAAAAGTGTGCGTCAGTCCCTGCGCGGCGTCACCCCTCACGCACGCGCGCTCCCGGCCCCGCTGCCTGAGGCTGAGCGGCGGAGAGACTCCCGGAGAGTTCGTGCTCCCGGCCTGCGGTGGCGCAGGAGACGAGAAACACGGCGAGGCCGGAGATCAGCTGAAAGACGTGGATGCCGACCGGTGTGCCGGGGAGAGCGCGGGGCGCTATCAGACCGACCAAACCCACAAACAGCATCACCAGACCTGCGCACCAACAATGATTAGCGGCTTAGGAGGAAGGAGAGGGAGTGGGGCGCTGACTGCGGCGGGGCGCACCGAAGATGACGTTGACGATCTGGCTGGTGACACGGAGGGTCTTGCCCCACTGGGAGCCCGGAGCCACGGGCTCCACCGCAGGCAGGGAGAGCTCGAGTTCCTCCGGGCAAATTTCCTGGCGGCAGACGCCGCAGACCGGTGGACCAGTCTGCCTGCGCGTGAGCTCGAGAAGGCAGCTGCGGTGTGCGCGTAGCGAGCGGCACGCACACACGTTGACCAGCATCGGGCCCTCCGAGGAAAGACAGATGTAGCAGGTGTCGGGGTCCTCGTCCTCCTGCGAAAACCCGATAGTGATCGCCAGCGGCCGGGCGGCGGCTGCTGCGGCTGCTCCGCTGCCGCTGCCGCTGATATCGCGCACAGTCTTGGAATCTTGTGGGGCGCTCCACGAGCCGCGGTCGCCTCCCATCAAGGCCCGCAGTCACCGTCGGCGACAGCGAGGCCCCCAAAAGTGACTTGATGTCCACTGGCAATCATCGCTCGCGAATGTCGCAAACCATTAAATGCATTTGCTTGAATTGTCACGTGGCTGGTTGTTTTCTTTCTTTCTTTTTACTTTTCATTTTGCGATGTGCGATCTGTGATCTTGTGACGCTTGTGTGTGTACATGTACATGTTGTGTGTGGGTGGGAGACACATGCTACCTTGGCTGACTGCTCTGCTTACTTGCCGTATGGAAGGTCGGGACGACTCTCTTCCTTCTCCCGAGCCCATCTTTCTGTCCACCCTTAGGGTGCCCTCTCGAGATCTCGCCGGCCGGGGTTCTGCTGATCTGCTCCAAGACCCGCAAGAGACCTCTCGCGCGAGACGTCGAGAGTGCCGAGTGCGTGGTCCGTGGTGTTTTGCTCCTTAGGACGTGCCCGCCGCTTTTGTATTATACACCATCCTCGGCGGCCAAAAAGCCTGGACCTGAGAGTGGGAGCCAGAACGAGGGTGGGTCCACAGAAGAGGGTACACCGTGCGCAGAGGCCGGAGGGCCCCGCCTTCAGCCCTGCCCGGAAGGGAAGGTCTTGATCGCCGCGCGCGCCATCGCCCTCTCGAGCACGCCGTTGCGCCGCCGGAGCTCCGCCACCTCCTCCTGCAGCCGCGCCAGCTCCGCCTTGAGCGAGCGGGCCTGCAGCGGGTCCTTCGTGGCAGCCAGCACCCGCGCCGACACCTCCTCGAGCGCGTCGTCGTCGAGCTGCCGGCCGACCGACTGCACCACAAAGGTGTCCTCCACGCGCCGCTCGTCGAGCGACGACGAGCGCGCGTGCATCTCGACCACCCTGCAGCCGGCAGAGGCGAGCGCCGCCGTCATCGAGGCGAGCACGCCTGCTCACGACAGCTGAGTGTGCGTGGTCTGATGGGTTGTCAACGCCGCCGTCATCGAAGCGAGCTCTGCCGTCGATGTCGGGCCCGCGCACCTGCTCACGGCAGCGCGCTGTGAAGAGACGCTGCCCCGCGCCTGCACCCCCTTTCCAACGGCGTCGCACGGTGAGGGTCGTCGCGTCGGGCCTCGCCGTGTTGTCCGCGTGCACCTCGAAGCCAAACTCGTCGAAACTCCCGTCGAGAGCGCCGCTCTTGAGCGTCGACGACCGCTCCTAATTAATTCATTCATTAAATTGATTAAAACGAATTGATTCATTAATTAATCGCTCTTGAGCGTCGACGACCGCTCCTGCTCACACACACCGGTGTGCCAGCGGCGCGTACCCCGGAGTGATTCTGAGATCAGGTTGGGCGTTTCCCCTTTGGAGGCAGATTCTTAAAATAAGCATGTCTCACAGCACACTGGCACGACAAGGGCGCGGACTGGCACCCACGAGAAAAAGAATTATCCCCACGTTGGCGAGCCAAAATGGTGATGTCCGAGGCGCTGCGCTAGGCTCAGAGCGAGTTCGCGCTGCGCTAGGCTCAGACGGCGAAGTTCGCGCTGCGCTCGGCTCGCAGCTGATGGCGAGTTATGGCGAGTGCATAGTCAGGTGCGACATCGATGGACTCGCCCTCATTGGCCCTCAGTCACTTGTGCTGCGTCTTGTACCCGGCACACTGATCACAAGAAAGAGACTCTCTCTCTCTCTCTCTCTGATCATGCATGGGTGCGAGGTATGTGAGGTAAGACCACGCACCGCGACGAGAGGGATACGGGTGATAGCGTGTCGTATTCACGAGATCGAGGTCGTGTCTCGACTCACGTCCCGCTCTGTCGAACGCCGTCTCTCACGAACTCGCTGCGACTCTCGGTCCCTTGGCGGCGCGGCGCGCACAGGCCGCAAGGGCTGCCGAGATGCCGATGGCAAAGGCCGTCAAAGCAAGCAAACCCCGCCACACGAGCAGCGGATTGCGAAACGGTTCGACAAGGTGTCGTCCGAAGAACAAAGCGAACCCAGCAAACGCCAAGGCCGCCCCGCTCCCCCGCTGTAGACGCACTCGCTCAGCACCGACAGCACGGCTTCGCACATACTGGCCGTTGCACAGCGCGAGACCAAGCGAGTGAGGCCAAAAAGGAGGACGGCTAGAGCCGCTCCAACGAACGCGACGACGAGAAACGTTTGATCGAGGCCATTACACGGCGCTGGCGAACTCGAGCCATCCTCATCGTGAGTGAGCGTGTCCCTCTCCTCGATGATGACGAGGGACTCGGCGTCGAGCACAAACAACACATGATCACGCCGCAGACCAGCGCGATCTCTCTCTCTCTCTGCTCTCTCTCTCTCTCTCTCTCTCTCTCTCTCTCTCTCTCTCTCTCTCTCTCTCTCTCTCTCTCTCTCTCTCTCTCTCGCTCTCTCTCTCGCTCTCTCTCTCGCTCTGCTCTCTCTCTATCTGCTCTCTCTCTCTCCTCTCTCTCTCTCTCTCTCTCTCTGCTCTCTCTCTCTCTCTCTGTGCTCTCTCTCTCTGTGCTCTCTCTCTCTCTGCTCTCTCTCTCTGCTCTCTCTCTCTCTCTCTCTCCTCGCCTGGCCCCACTCCGGGTACTCCCCGCGCCAACCCTCCAGACCCTAGCCTCCTCCCGCGCCGGCAGGCCGCGGGGGCGTCACAGACTCGGAGGAGCTCGTCTGCTACACGTGCCCCGAGTGCGGGCAGCCGGGCGAGACGTCGCTCACCAAGAGCACGCAGGATGGCGCCTTCAGCTTCATCGGCCGAAGCGGCACGACCAAAGTGACATGTGCGTAGTCGAGCGCTGTGACATGTGCGTAGTCGTCGAAAGGGTCACTCCCCGGTCAGTGAGCAGCGGGAGCCGACAACGCATTGACCCCCGTTCGTTGAATCTGCCTTGCCGTCCCGTCGAAAGGGTCGCTCCCCACTGTGGGGGTCGTGATTTCTTGTTGGTTTTCAAAAAATCTCTCTCTCCAAGTGCTCCGGTGAGCGGTGTGCGGTGAGTGTGAAACAACAACGCGACGTGCATAGGCCGGTGTTTGCAGTGCACACGTGTTTGCAGATAGCAGCAGGACTCCAGGAGCAGCAGCCGGGAGCTGACAGGCTGTTTCGAAAAAAATCGCGGTGTAGTTATTTGGAGGAGAATTCTCACCGGTCGCGAACTTCACGACACGTGCGCCATCGTATGTATGAACCGGGGGGGAGGGGGGCGTGGGATCGGGACGCCAAGTGTTTGTCGAAGGAAACCAAGGGCACCCAACTGCCATATTCCCCGGCCAACAGCGTGATCTCGATCAACCCTCCCGGTTCGGTTACAAGTTCTGCGGCCGAGGAAGCCGAAGTTGTCATCAGGACGCGGGCCCATGTCTCCTGATCGGTCCAATGCTTGGCACGTCGGGATATTCGGCCTCTCCCCCGCCAAGTACGCGGTCGGGTCCCTTCGTGCGTCGCAGCCCGCGCCACCAGCCGCAGTCGGCGGTGACGCTTGATGCAAAGCGGTTCAGTCTTCCTCCTTCGGATCTCATGGCGCCGCCGCCATCGGTGGCGGGCGCGGAGAGGTGCAAGCTTCACGTGCGGCGCGGCGACGATTCGAGCACTGCCGCCGCGTTGGGCTTCATCTCTCTCACTGATTGGTGCTCTCAAAACCAGGGAGCTGCGCAGGGTCAGCAGTGGAGGAAGCGACCACGCAGCTGGTCCCCAGACGCCGGGGTCTCGCCCGACGCCCAGCAGTCGCCTGACGGTCCGGAGGAGGCGGAGGTGCGGAACTTAAAGCTGAAGGCTCTCGCCAAGGACTTATCGCGGCCGCAATCGCCGCGCGGGGGCGTGAGCCTGCTCTCGCGCCCCGCGTCGCGCGCCGCGAGCCGCACACCCCCACCGCCGTCACGCTCCTCGGGCAACTCCTCCCTCGGACCCTTCATCTCACTGAAGTCGATGCTCGGCTCTTCAGTGCAGGGCACCTGCGCCTCGGCTGCCTCCCTCTCCTCCTCGCTCGGATCGTTTTCGCTGTCCGGGCCGGCCGGCTCAGCCCCGCGGGCGGTGTGCACCCCGCCAGGCGACGCGGCGGCCTTTGAAGCGCACAGCCTGCAAGTGCAGTGCCCGGCGCCCAAACGGCCGTCCCGGCTCAGCGACCCACTCGCGGCGGTGCAGACTGAGGCGGCTGGATGAGGCGAGCGATAGAACCCAGCGCCTCGGATGACGGAGCGAGGGGGTCGGAGAGCGCAGATGCGGACCTGTCGGACAGTCGGGACCGATCGCTGTCGTGGGCCAGGCCCCGCGCAGGGTTCAGCTTGAGCTACGCGTTGCTGTGAATCGTCGCAGTCTCGCGCGCCAGTCCCGGAGAGTATTTTTATACGTGCGCGGTCTCTCTATTGTGGCACAGCAGGCAGGAACCCCCCGGAATGTGTCATATAATCATATATACAAAGAACACACACGACAAACACGCAGTCACTGGACACTGCACTCTCCAAGTGCTCCAAGTGCTACAGTCACAGAGCACTCAGCTCTCAGCACACACAGCAGACGCGGCTCGTCTAGACTCTCAGAGTTGACAGGGACGTCTCAACTCTCAGGTCTCAGCGCTCTATCACCTGTTCGCCCGCGAGCGGCCGAGAGCTTCAGAGCTTGCGTATGTGCAATGTGGGGCTTGCCGATGCCGTCGCCCACCGCCCAGCACGCAGCAGCAGGCGGAGCTGAGGAGGAGTAGTCTGGACCGAGCAGTAAACACACAAAAAGCGTGAACGCCGCGCGCCGAAGGCGAGAAGGTCCAGCACGCACGACGCACCTCTCCCAGCCACGCGCGACAACCGAGACATGCAATACAATACATAATACTCAGAGGAAGGAGCAAGTTTTCCTCCCTCCCCATTGCGACTCTCCCCACGGAGCAAACAACAGGGCCCCAAAAGCCGTAGAAAAGGGCCGGCCACTACTGGCGACCTTAGATGTCGAGCCCCGCCTACGCGCTCTCCCCGCCATCTGCCAGCTGGTCCGCAGAGTCGGGGCGAGCTTCCTGAGCTCGGCGAGCCGCCGAACGAGGAGCGGAGGAGAGCAGCTAGGCGCGACTTCTCAGCGCCTCCTCGAGCGACGCGCTCGGCCGGCGGCTCGCCTTGGACGGGGTCGCCCACGCGCGGGTGGCGAGGCGGCGCAGGTAGATGATCTCGTCGCCGCGCGGGCCGTTGCCGATCGAGAGGATCACCGTCTTGGTGAAGTGCTCGATGATGTCGAGCAGCTTGCACACATTCTCGGGAAGCGCCACCGGGTGCTGCTGCGCGAGCCACCACTCGGAGCGCGCGAAGATCGGCGTCTCGCGCCAGCCGTCGACCTTCTTGAGGACCGGCTGGCAGTGCGCGAGCACCTGCTGCGTCGGCAGCTGCTCGCCCGCGCGGATGATGTCGCCGTTGCGGAAGAGGCGCCTATCAATCATTAATTATTAATGATTAGTTATTAATTAATAATGTACAGGATGTCGCCGCTCCGGAAGAGGCGCCCGTTCGAGGAGAGGGGCGTTCCCTCGGGGTGGACGTACACGTACGCGACGCAGACGGCGTACGTGTCGTAGTCGTCCGCGCGGTCAAAGGCGGAGATGGAGCAGTACGGCCCCTGCGCCTGCATGAGCTCCGCGTGCGCGACGCAGTCGAAGAAGCCGACCACGCGAGGCCGGCCCGACGTGACGCCAAACTCGCGGTGCGACGGGTGCACGCACGAGGCGGCGGCCATGGCGACACCCAAGTCGTACGTGCCAGTGTGGTTGGTGAAAGCGCCGGGCCGCAGCAGGCCGTTCGCGCCGATGGAGCCAAAGTACTGCACGCACACGTCGCGCCAGTCGATCTGCATCGCCTCAAAGTCCTCCTTTGTCGAGTCGGTGGCCGCAAAGTAGTGCTGCGGCACGAGCGCGCACGGGTTCGCGCCGGAGCCGACTCGCGACGAGCCTGCGGCGGCGTGCGGGAAAAGGGAGGGGGGGGGGGGGGGCGGTGAGGACGGCTGCGGCGTCCCGGGGCCCGCGACGTCTCTGTGGGAACGCCGTGCAGAGGGGGTGCGTGTTGCTTCCGCATGCGGCGAGAGCGTCTCGGAAGAGCCTCGGAAGAGCGTCTCGGAAGAGCGTCTCGGAAGCGCCTCGGAAGAAGTGTCGCGGAAGCGTCTCGCGGCTTCCGCATCTAAAGTGCGGGCCAGGCGTCTTGTGGATGTTGATGGCGAGAGGGCTGAGCGACGGCGACCCGATGTTGACGCGCGCCGCGCAGAGCATGCCCGCGGCGTCCGTGTTAGCCGACGTGCCTGCGTTGTAAACACGCCAACCTCAGGGCGGGAAGACGGTATTGCGCAGCGTATTGAGAGCACCGCGTGAAGACGAGGGGTGCGAATGCAGGGAAATGCAGCGGAATACGGTCGAAGACAGCGGAGTACGCGCCCTCTCGAGCGCTGGTTGGGGTACATGAATCCGTGTTCCGCTGCTAGGCTGGCGTGCCCGAGTCCCAAAACTTCTCCGCCGCGTTGGAGAGGAAGTATGACTGCGGACCCTCGAGCAGCACCTTGCCTGTTCACAGCAACGAGGTGTGAAGAGACGCCGTTCACAGTGGACCCTCGAGCAGTGCCTTGCCTGTTCACAGCAACGAGGTGTGAAGAGACGCCGTTCACAGCGGACCCTCGAGCAGCGCCTTGCCTGTTCACAGCAACGAGGTGTGAAGAGACGCCGTTCACAGCGGACCCTCGAGCAGCGCCTTGCCTCCGCTCGAGAGCGTCTGCCGCAGCAGGAAGGAGACGTCGGCGCAGGGCGGGAAGTCTGCGTTGTGGACGACCTGTTCACAGCAACGAGGTGTGAAGAGACGCCGTTCACAGCAGGGCGGGAAGTCTGCGTTGTGGACGACCTGTTCACAGCAACGAGGTGTGAAGAGACGCCGTTCACAGCAGGGCGGGAAGTCTGCGTTGTGGACGACGTAGCGGTCGAAGAGGTCGAGCACGTACTGCGCCTGCGGTGTGTGCGGCGCCAGCGTGAGGGTGAGGCGGTCTCTCGGCTGTCTCTCGGCTGTCTCTCGGCTGTCTCTCGGCTGCCTCTCTGCTGCCTCTCTGCTGTCTCTCGGCTGTCTTGGGTCTCCAGCTCCGCCTTGTCGCGCGCCGCGATGAAGCCGAGCACATGCGGCTGGATCTTCGAGTTCGCCTTTGCCTTCTCGTGCAGCTCCTCCTCGGTGATGCTCTTCGACGAAAGCGCGCCCCAGTACTCGCCCATGTCGCGCTCGAGCCTGCGCCGGTTGAGATCCCTGCAAATTATGACCCGCCGCACTGCCCCGGCCGCACAACGCCGCACGACTGCCCTGCCCCGATCCCCTACCTGCCCCGGGTGTGAAACCCGCACTGCCCTGCCCTGCCCTGCCCTGCCCTGCCCGATCCCCTACCTGCCCCGGGTGTGAAACCCGCACTGCCCTGCCCTGCCCTGCCCTGTCCTGCCCCGATCCCCTACCTGCCCCGGGTGTGAAACCCACACTGCCCTGCCCTGCCCTGTCCCGATCCCCTACCTGCCCCGGGTGTGAAACCCACACTGCCCTGCCCTGCCCTGCCCTGCCCTGCCCGATCCCCTACCTGCCCCGGGTGTGAAACCCGCACTGCCCTGCCCTGCCCTGCCCTGCCCTGCCCGATCCCCTACCTGCCCCGGGTGTGAAACCCACACTGCCCTGCCCTGCCCTGCCCTGCCCTGCCCCGATCCCCTACCTGCCCCGCATATAAACCCACACTGCCCTGCCCTGCCCTGCCCGATCCCCTACCTGCCCCGGGTGTGAAACCCGCACTGCCCTGCCCTGCCCTGCCCGCCCTGCCCTGCCGTGAATACCCGGGGTCCCGCACCCCCCACAGGTTTGGAACCCACAGAGTCCGGCCGAGAGATAGCCGAGAGCTGGAGCCAGTACCAGAGGCCGCGAGAGGTGGCGGAGAGGTGGCGGAGAGTAAGCCGAGGTACAGCCGAGATCTGGCGGAGAGATGGGCGGGTCGCACCGCGCGCGCGAGCCCTGCTGCCCCTCGCGGCCGTTGAACAGGTGGTCGAGCCTGCGTGTCCCATACCTCCAGAGTCTCGAACCCAGTGTGGGTTCAGTCCCGAGGGTGGTGTGGTCGCAGAGATGGGAGAGCTGACCGAGCCTACCGTGCTGAAGACGCCGACATGGAGGGCGGGAGTGTGCGGTCTCGTGCAGCGCATTCCGAGCACCGCGTGTGATACGAGGGGTACGAGTACGGTGAGTACAGCGAAAGACGGGCGAGTACAGCGGAGTACGTGTCCTCTCGAGCGCTGGTCGGAGTCCAAGACTCCGTGTCCAGCTTCTAGAGTGGTCGAGCCGCAAGCCGCGCCGCGATGCCTTCGACGCGTGCACCGGGCCCATGCCCTGGGCAGGTGGGTTCGGGTACCGTGGGGGTAGGGGATGCGTGCACCGGGCCCATGCCCTGGGCAGGTGGGTTCGGGTACCGTGGGGGTAGGGGATGCGTGCACCGGGCCCATGCCCTGGGCAGGTGGGTTCGGGTACCGTGGGGGTAGGGGATGCGTGCACCGGGCCCATGCCCTGGGCAGGTGGGTTCGGGTACCGTGGGGGTAGGGGATGCGTGCACCGGGCCCATGCCCTGGGCAGGTGGGTTCGGGTACCGTGGGGGTAGGGGATGCGTGCACCGGGCCCATGCCCTGGGCAGGTGGGTTCGGGTACCGTGGGGGTAGGGGATGCGTGCACCGGGCCCATGCCCTGGGCAGGTGGGTTCGGGTACCGTGGGGGTAGGGGATGCGTGCACCGGGCCCATGCCCTGGGCAGGTGGGTTCGGGTACCGTGGGGGTAGGGGATGCGTGCACCGGGCCCATGCCCTGGGCAGCGAAGAGGCGGGCCGGGACCGGTGGCGGCGGCGGCGGTGGCGAGGGCGAGGGCGGGGGCGGGGGCGAGGGCGAGGCGGTGGCGGTGGCAGTGGCGGTGGCGGTGGCGGCGAGCGCCTGCAGCGTGGAGCGGTTGGGCGCATCCCACGAGCCAATCAGGTCGAGCAGCTTGTGGTGCGGGCAGACGAGGTGGACGTTCCCGATGAAGAGCCGCTCCTTGTAGCTCACTCCGGTGCGCACCAGCTGCGACACCTCCCGCTCCATGAAGGAGACCTGCGGCGTGTGTGCCGCGGCGGCGAGCCGTCAGAGGCGGCGAGTCTGCGCCAGAGCGTTCACGTGCGCCGTGGTGTGCAGCGGCGCGCCGGGTCCATCACGCACTCTGGCCCGATCATGTTTACCTTGCCGGGCGTGAGGAGGCCTGTTCACAGCTGCAGGTGTGAAGAGACGCCGTTCACAGCGATCATGTTTACCTTGCCGGGCGTGAGGAGGCCTGTTCACAGCTGCAGGTGTGAAGAGACGCCGTTCACAGCGATCATGTTTACCTTGCCGCGCGTGAGGAGGCCTGTTCACAGCTGCAGGTGTGAAGAGACGCCGTTCACAGCGATCATGTTTACCTTGCCGCAGACCCGACGGGCAAAGGTGGAAGTCGTACTTGTGGCCGGTCTCGCCAAAGACGGTGTGCCCCGCATTCTCGCCCGAGTTGACGCGCGCGACGACCTTCACCTCGGGGTGCCTAGGCAGTGTCTAGGAAGTGTCGACGCGCCGTCTAGGAAGTGTCCAGGAAGTCGACCTCGGGGTGCCGCGCGATCGCGTCGACCGTCTTGCCCTTGCCCTCGTCCCCAAAGTAGGCGCCTGTTTGCGCACCGGAGGGGCGTGTGCGCCGCGACACCAGGGCCGCGAGTGTGTGGGAGAGAGGGTCGATGGGTGGAGAGAGGGTCGAGGGTGATGGAGAGAGGGGATGGGTCGGCGGAGGGCTGGCCGGGAGCACCGGCGACGATGATGACGGACGCTTCGGCGATGAGCGGGTGCAGCACCTCCTCAATCGGAGCCTCCTCGTACTTGGCCGTCGGCACGTAGTCCAGCTCGGGCAGCCGAGGCAGGTTCTCCAGCAGGGCGTAGATTTGCCGCCGCTCGTCGGCGAGCTGCTTGTTGTAACCCACGCCAAGCTGGCACTTTCGTGCGCCGCTCGCCGCGCGCGAGCCGGGCGTGCCGGGCGATTTGCTCATGCTGAACTCCTGCTCGTCGCCGTGCTCGTCCTCCTGGTCGTACGTGAGCGTCGAGCGAGCGGCTCGAGAAGCGGCGAGAAGGCCGCGGCGCCACAACCGCCGGGTCTCCTCCTCGAGCCGCTCATTGAGCGTGACGATCAGAGCGAGCCCGAGAGCACCGAGCGCCGCGCCGGTGGCGAGGTCGAGGAGTCGGCTCATGGAGCTGGGCCGACTGCACCACGGTTTCAAGGTTGTCGGCAACTGCACTGTGAGCTCGCAAAAGAATTTTGCGATGCTCCTCGCACGACGTCCTCCCATCCCTCCCTTGGGTTGTCCGTTTTCTTTCTTTCTTTCTTTTACTAGGCACGCAAAAAGAAAATTCGAATTTTACTTTTAGCTTACGGGGAGGAGAGGGAGAGTAGAGTGGGTTGTGTATATTGCAATAGAATCGGCGAATAGATGCGAAGCATGGCAAATCCGGCGGGCGGTTCGATCCTCTCTGGGGGGCGCGACGTGTTTATGCTGCTGCGGTTGGGACTCGGTCGGGCCCTCGCGATCAGGCCGACGTTGGCGAGGCGCGCCCAGACCGCGCGCCTCGGGGGCTTCGCGTGGCGGCGCCTCGCCTTGACCGCCGGACTCGGAGTGTCCACCGCGGCCGTCAGCGCCTCGTGCGACGCCGCTGCGGAGGATGATTGGGCCGCCCGGCTGCCCCTCTGCGAGGAGTCGCTCGCATTTTACGAAAAGCTCTTCAAGCAGATGGTGGGCAACCAAGGCGCGCATATTGGGTAGCACGCCTGCCACGTCACGGGTCCCCCTGGAGTACTCACCAAAGTGCAGAGCGGGCCGTCTGTAGTACACACTGTAGGCACTTATCTCACGCGCGCGCAGCTCGAGAGCCACGTCGGCAAGGGCTCGCGGTGGCGGGAGCTCAAGACGATTGCCAACATTCTCTTTGCCGTCCTCGATCACGACGCGTCGGGCACCATCTCCTTCTCGGAGTTTGCGAGCGGAGTCGCTCTGATCAAGGCATCGCGCGACTCGCTGTCCGAGGACGCGACCAAGGAGTTCGCCTTCCGCGCCCTCGACCTCAACCACAGCGGCTACATTGAGAGAAGCGAGCTGCTCTCCTGGGTCAAGGTGCTCCAGGGCATCGGCGGCCTCAAGCCGCAGGACGCCAACGCGAGGCTGATGTGTGTCGGGCAAGGCGACGTGGGAGGCGGCTTCGGCCGTACGGTCAGCGCGCAAGAGCTCACCTCCAAGTTCATGAAGGCGATGGACGCCGACGGTGCGCCACGCGTAGTACAGAGTCTCTGCTACTCCAAGTGCTTCACGTGCTCCGGCCTGTCTCGTGCACACCTCCTTCAGCCCGCTCACCCCTACCTACTGCCCCCGCCGATCCCCGAGCGCCGTCCCCGGGCAGGCGACGGGAAAATATCGAAGGCGGAGTTCTTTCGGCTGGGCCAAGCGCTCATGGACATGAGCGCGGTGCACAAGCTGCTGGCCACCGTCCCCTTCCCCGGCGACTAGAGAGAAGTCGCCCGCGCGAGAGCCCCCGAGGGAGACCACGCGCGAGGCAAAGAGAGATAGGTACCTGGTAGTATAGACTGCAATCTGACTTATTGGGAGGGAGAGGGGCAACCGCCACCGCTGCCCGCCACCCACCGCCCCCCCTGTGAGGGAGGGCGAGACAATCGTGGGGTCCCTTGCCAGAAGGAATCGGCCGGAAGAGCCCGTCACGGGGCTAGGTCACGAGCGCTCAGTGCTCAATACGACGAACTCAGCGATGGATCCCTAGGAACGGGGGTTACATGGAGAGAGAGCAGCGTTAGCAGTTACGTTTTCGGTTTCTTTCTTCGTAAACTGTGCGGTAGGTAGACATTCTACCTCCCATCCAACCCACCGAAACCCGTGTGGATGGGTTTTACCGCCGCCTTTTACCATCCATAGCCGTCGGGTTTTACCTCGCGTTCTCTTGGTGTCGTCTATGGTTTGCTAGACCCATGAGACCATCCTCACCGCGCTATCGGGCGCCTCCACCGCCGCCCTCAGCCACGCCGCTACGACCGTCGGAGGCGTCAACTCCGCCGTCACATGGTATCAGCTCTGATCGCGGTCCAGCGCCAGCCCAACACGCCAATCCGCCCGCAGGCTCAGCGCCTGCCATGCGGCCGCCGCCACCAGTGCTGCGGCCGCCACCGCAGCAGCTGCCGCCACTGCCCACCGGCCCGCCACCAGGGACGACTGGGCACGAGCCACCCGTCGGGCAAACTGAAAAATACACACCGTACCCAGCTGCCACGCTGTCTCTGTTGCACTTTCTGGCTCCCGCTGGAGTTTTACCTGCACCGACTTGGCGCAAGGCCGCACGTGCCGCACGCCCGCACCCTCCCTGCCCGGCGTGCCCGCCCCAGCACGCGCTATCCGCCACCCCCTCGCCTTCCCCCTCCTCGCCATCTCGACGGTCTCCATCACCTAGGTAAGAGGTGCTTCTTTTTTCTCGTGGGTGCCAGTATCCGCGCCCTTGTCGTGCCAGAGTGTGCTGTGAGACATGCTTGATTTCACTTGGAGCACTTGGAGTGCAGTCAGTAACCTCACATCCAGGGCCGGGGAGCTAAGAAGCGCACCCAGCGGGCCGGATGATCGGGATCGGGCTACGGGCTAGAGAGCCCTGACCCCTAGCTAGGGGCGGGGGTGCGCGTTCGCAGGGAAAGGGCCATAAAGTAAACACGGTTCTCCGAGGGTTAGTTCTGCGCTTTGGGTGTCCCCTAGCGGCGGAACGCCCCCTCTACTCGGAGCTAGTAAACACCAGGCACAAGCACGACGTAACTCTCACCCGACATCGTCACTCAGGGCCCCTTCGCCCGATCTCCCCACCCCCCATTCGAAGGGGCTCCCCTCTCCTCCCGGTCCTCCCTCCTGTTCGCTTTCCGACGGTTAGGCGTCGGCTGCGAAGCCCGCCTTCCCCTCTTATACTTCTTCGACCGCGGCTTCGCCGCCGTCTCGCCTTCCCTGTCTGATCCCGTTGACTCCACGGGTGGCGATCCCGTGTCCGACTCCCCGGGCGAGGGCGGCGGCGTTGGGTTATATCGCCTCCCCCCCCCCCCTTTTTTCAAGAATCTTCCTTTCCGCATTTAATTCTTTTTCTCGCGCCTCGCCTGTCGCGTGAATCGTGTCGTGCGACCCGCTTGTAAAAAGAAAGAAAGAAAACGGACAACCCAAGAGAGGGATGGGAGGACGTCTTTTTCTGTGAAGTTCGGGTATTTAAATTCTTTTGCTTGTAAGATTCTTTTTCTCGTGTTGCCAGGGTTCGGACTTTTTGCGGGGTATGGTATGGTAGCCTCGCGCAACCCACCTCGAGACCATACCCCCCCCGCCTGCTGACAGACCCAGCCTCCCGGAGACCGGGGATGGGCGGTCAGGACCATACCCCCCCACCCTTTGGGCCGCGAGTGTACCATACCATACCCCGCAAAAAGTTGGAACCCAGTCCGCGCCAGTCCGCGCCCTTGTCGTGCCAGTGTGCTGTGTAGAGGCTGTGCACTTGGAGCACTTGGAGGCGTTGGCAAGAATTCTTCCCTGGCGCTCTCCGATGCCGCAAAAGGTCTGCCTCACCGGAGCGTCTGGCTTTCTCGGTTCCTGGTGCGCCAAGCTGCTCCTCGAGCAAGGCTTCGTTGTCCACGCGACCGTCCGCAGCAAGGAGAAGGCCGCGTATCTCAAGGCGCTCCCCGGCTCTGAGCGGCTCGTTATCTTCGACGGCGTCGATCTGCTAACGCCGGGCGCGTTCGACGCGGCGATGGCCTCATGCGACGTGTGTATGCACACCGCCTCTCCCTTCTTCTTTGCCAACGGCACCGAGGATGCGCTCGTGAAGCCCGCCGTTGAGGGCACGCGGAACGTCCTCGACGCGTGCGTCCGGGCGGGAGTCCGCAAGGTCGTGCTCACCTCGTCCACCGCCGCCGTCTACGTCTCGTACGGCACCGTCGCCGACGATCACGTCTGGAGCAGCGCCGACTGGACGTCGGAGGGGCTGGTGCGGGAGAAGGAGAACTGGTATTGCCTGAGCAAGACCGCCGCGGAGCGCGTGGCCTGGGAGGTGAGCAGGGCGAGCTCGCTCGACCTCTGCGTCCTCAACCCGACGCTCATCTTTGGGCCGGTCCTGCGAGGCCAGCCGCATCGGTTTGGGCCGGTCCTGCTGGGCCTTATCTTACCTTACCTTACCTTACCTTACCTTAGGCCAGCCGCACCTCAACACATCGCAAAACACCATCGTCGGCATGATGGACGGCAGCCTCTCCCAGCTCGACAACAGCTGCAAGAGCATCGTCGACGTGCGGGACGTGGCGGAGGCGCACGTGGCGGCCATTACGACGGGCAGCGGGTGGGGCGAGCGGTTTCTGCTCATCGGCGCCACGCCCCACCAGGCGGAGATTGCCGACGCCGTGAGGGAGGCGCTGCCGGCCGGCATGAAGGCCAACGTGCCGACCTCAGTCAGCGCAGTCCTTGGCCCGCCAGTGATGGCGCAGTCGCCGCCCAATCCGGTTCTGTACGACGCGTCCCCGTCCGAGCGGCTGCTTGGCATCAAGTACAGGTCGACGAAGGAGATGGTGCAACAGTCCGTCGCCTCGCTCCTTGCAAATGGCTTTGACAGCACCGCAAAGTACGCGCACCGGGAGAAGTAGGCGAGCCGGCTATTTGTGTAAACTCTGTACAATGTGTGTTTTGGGTCATCGCACCACAACACCGCGACTTGCGGCTCTCTGTGACCGATCCGTCATCCGACTTCCGAGAAGTGAGGTTGGTTGGCACAGCTGCGCGCGGGGTGCGGGTGTGCCCCCCGCGCTGACGCACGCGCACGCTCGCCCCTGTGAACCCTGCAAAAACCGACCCCTGCCGTCAGCCGCGCGGGCGGGAGCTCCGACCTCAGTCTCACTCGTGGACCAGATCGACGCTATGGGCCCTGGCGGTTAGCGACGCCCGCACTCCCTGGGTGGCGGAGCCCCGGCAGAGGCAGTAAGCAGGCAGCGCGGCCGTGACCACGAACGCCGCAGATACGATGCTGTTCGCCACCCCAAAGCCTTGCGTGGTCGCGATGCCGCTCAGCGGCTGCATGAGGGTGTTGGTCAAGCCCGCAATGGTGTTGACCGTGCCGTAGAGGGTACCAAAGTTCCCAAATCCGAAAACCTCGCCGGTGAAGCTCGCACCGAGGGTGTAGAAGAGCGGCCGGCAGTAGGCGAAGATCACAAAGGCGGCGTAGGCCGCGTCGGTGTACCCGGTGGCCGCATGGATGGCCAGGAGCAGCTGGAAGGCCAGGTAAGCAAACCACAGCACGACGAATCCTTTGGTGGGGCCGATGCGGTCCACGAGGCTTCCAATCACCGGCGTGTAGACGATAGCTCCGCAGGGGAGGATGATCGAGAAGGCCTTTGTCAGCTGAATTGCCGCGTCCGGGTTCGCCTCGGTCATCTGCGACAAGGATGTGGCTATGAAAAAGTTGATGCAAATCATCGTCACGCAGACGGTGAGGGTCAAGAGGACAAACTCCAGGGTCAGCATCTGCGCCCTCACGCCCCGGCGTGAGAGGTCGGACCCGATCGGCGCGTCGGTCGAGGCGACGGCTTCAAAGGGCGCCGAGACTGGCGCGGCGGGCCAGAGGGAGAGGGCGAGGAGGGCAAAGATCGCGGGACAGGCGGCGTAGCTCTGGAAGACGGTTCTGATGGTGGCGCCGCCGCTGATGAAGCTCGCGAGTCCGACAAAGATGGAGGACGACGCGTCAAAGCAGCCAACCAAGCAGGCGCAGATGAGCCCCTTCCGCTTCGGGAAGAAATTCGAAAAGGAAAGGGTGCAGTTGAACATGGAGGGGCCACTGATGGCGAAGAGCAGAAACCCGCCATAAAAGGCGATGTGCCCTTGAGAGCCGTCTCCTCCCTGCGCGAAGAGCATGCAGCCCGCGGCCGAGCACAGCAGCAGGCATCCCGCGGTCCTCTTCGGGCCAAGGCAGTCGAGCAGCGCTCCCGACGGGAGGGCAAACACGTTCAGCAGGGACGTGGCCAGCGTAAACATTCCGGTGAGCGCGGCGAGCTGCTCGGGACAGGTGGCGCCGCCGGCGCTGGATGATGAGCACACGTCGTGGAATGCGCCGCTGTCGATGAGCACCGGCAGGAGGGCCGAGAAGCCAAACGCGAGGCCGGCGTTGAAGAGGCAACACAGCACGGCAGACACGACGACAATGAGGCGGCGGCCGGTGCCCCAGTCGGACGTCCCAGACGGAGGAAGGAGCGGCTCCGATGAGGCGGGCATCGGTCACGGGAGAGACTGGCTCCGTCACGTGTACGACGGGTACTCTGGTGAAGATCCCTGGTGAGCGGGCGAGGGGGGGGCGGACGCGCGCAAGTTGGTAAAGGGGGGAAAGATGTTGACTTCGGGACAGCCAGGGTTCCGGCTCCTCCGGGTGTCTGGTGCCAATCGAACAATCGAAAATAGTGGGTCCTGTTGCTGGGCCCTTTTTAACAAGACCAACCTAGCTACCTATCTGATTCTGTGTGAGCTCTGTGTCTTGATTTGCCAACAATATACTTAAAGCTACCTATCTGGGAGGGGCTGCCAGCCAGTGGCAACAGAGCACTTATCCGGGTAGGAGCTCGGGCCCAGGCTCGGACTGGACACCAACGTGAGTGGACGCAAGACAGATAGGTAGGTAGAAAGGTGAAGAACAGCCAGGCTCGGACTGGACACCAACGCGGTATGGGTGGACGCTGGACAGATGATGACGGCACGCACGAGCGACACACAGACACAAACAAGCTCACAAGACACACAGCCAGCGGGCTGCCACACACCCTGAGAGTAATGGAGAAGTCTGTCCGCGCCTAAGGATTCTGCCTTTCCTATTCTGCTCTACTACACAAGGATTCTTGCTATTCTACCTCTCACTAGATTCCCCTTCCCAGGTTCCTCTTCTGCTCAGATATTCTGATTCTCTCCCCAGACTCTCCCATCTTGGCCCCGCTTTCAGCTTCCTGATTCTCCATTCTCGTTTCCTCCGCTTCCTTTCCGATTCTCTAGGGCAGCCAGAGCCAATTCCTGATTCTGCTCCCCCCTCCCGATTCTCCTGTCTCTCTTCCTATTCTTGATGCTCCATTTGATTCCTGATTCCTGATTCCTGATTTGTCGGATCGCCCACATTTTGACCGGGATTCTGATTCCTGATTCCTGATTCCTGATTCCTGATTCCAACATTTTGACCGGGATTCTGATTCCTGATTCCTGATTCCTGATTCCTGATTCCTCGGAGTTACGCATTTCGGCGGGATCCTATGTTGGCCTGACTCTCCGAACTCCTGAGCCGATATTGCGTGTGCGCGGGGCTTCACACAGCTCACTCAAACTTCGCCCGCGGCAGCATGCTCAGGCGCGGGTCTCTCTGGCGCTCTAGCCTCACGTCAGCGCACTCAGCGCTTAGGCCTCGGTCCGGCGTCCGCAAAGGCGCAGTGTGTGGTGCGGGCTCTGCCCGCCCCCCCGAGGAGAGGGGGGGGGGGGGGGCGCTCCCGCGCGGGGGGGAGCCGAGCGAAGCTCGGCTCGGGTTCAAACTAACCCTCCCCCTTTTCCCTTTTTCTAAAACTGCTCGCCGCGAGCGGCTCGCTTCTAAAACGAGCTCGCCGCGGCTGTCGCCGCGTCTCGCCTGTCTAGGCGTCGTGATGCGTGTGTGCTTTTGAGCTGGGCGTATAAGAAGAAGAAATTGAAGCACTCCTCCCATTGACTTAGTACGAGCACCGAGACACGAGACAGCAGCCTACCCGTTCTACACCCACACCGCCGCGGAGCTGCCTAGCTGGCGGGTGCTTTCGAGCCCGCGGGCTTGGAGACCCAATCAGACAGCACTCCCCACAGCAAAAGAGCACGTGCCGCTGTGAGCATCGCTGAGCAGCACCAACGACCGCTTGCGGGGTCGCCGCAGGCCGGCGCCAAGCTGCATCTGACGCCGGCATGCCGTTCAAACCCCGGGACCAAGCGCCCGCGGGAATGGGAGGCCGCCTGCCCAGAATTAAGATCGGCCGCGCACTGCTCTGGCTCCACCATGCCACCGCCCATGAGATCTCTGACGCACGTGTGATGAGCCGCCGTTCAAAAGTGACTGTACTGTGCGGAGCGCGGAGCGCACTTCGATGGCAAAGTGGGTGGCGCGGAGGATACGGCGCGTACACATGAACGTGATTGGTTGAGTGAGCATGCCCAGATGGCCGGCCGCCGGGCTACCGCCCCTCGACGGGCAAAAACAGGAATCAGGAAACGAGAGTCCGGCCGGGTTGCCAAGAAATCGGCGGGCAGAGGGGAAAACCGCCTTTCCGGCATCCGGAGGCAGAAACCGCAACCGCGCGACAGAATCTGATAAGGCGAGAATCGGACGGACAGAATCAGATCGATTAGGCAGAAACGGAAGCTGGGTGAGGAATCCTGCCCGGAGGCTGAGTGCGTGGAAAGGGGACGGGCAGAATCAGATCGAGTAGGCAGAACCGGAAAAGGAGAGTGAGAATCAGAAGAAACGGACACGAATCCCTCTCGAGCCTCCGCATACAGAATCCTGTCTTGGGTGGCAGAATCGCTAGTGCAGAATCCTCAGGCGTGGACAGGGTTCTCCAAGACTGCACCCTGAGTCGGCTTACACATAACTCAAGGCCATATCCTCCCTGTCGCCCCCCCCAGCACTCCACGGTGCCAAGAGTACAAACAAGGGCACAACGACACAACAGACGACAGGAAGTGACATGCGAGGCTAGAGCAGGCTTGCTCTACCTCCAGCAATCTCTCCGGCCGGCGAGGCACGGACGAGACCGTGTGTGGGGTCTAGTGAGGTGTCTATGGACGCCCTCCTCAGAGGCTAGCTGCCTGCGGCTAGCCCAGGCTCCGTCACGTGTACAACGGGTACTCTGGTGAAGATCCCTGAATCGAACAATCGAAAATAATAGGTCCTGTTGCTGGGCCCTTTTTAACAAGACCAACCACCCGTGACGAAAAACGGACACACACCAAGCGCTAAGCGTGATGACGTGAGTTCGAATTCGGAGGTGCATCTGAGCAAAATTGGGCCCGCTCAGGTGTGAAAAAAATTATAAGGGTCAAGGTGCCGATTCGATCCGGAGGCCACTCGATCCTCGAGCGGCAGACGGCTCGGGTTGGCAGCATAGATGATGGACTGGAGGAGGTGTCACTCAACGTCCGATGATATAGCCAAAAAATAATAAATAAACATATTAAAAAACCGAGGGAATTCACCATATACACCGACGCCCGAAGTGCCAAGAAGGACGTCACCAGTACGAAACCTCAGAAGGCCAGTGGCGTCGAGAGAACATTCCCTCGAGAGCAAAAAAGAAAGCACAACCAAACCTCCTTCCCAGGTTACCCCTGCCAAATGCCGCCGTTCTCGGGGCATGCTATCCTGTGTAAGCAGGGCAGGTGGGGGAGGGGGGCACTCCCACGGACGTATGTATCCGTGGTGACTGTCTCTAGCGTCGGAGGCAAGGGCGAAGCTAAGAATATTTAATTTTTAACAAGACCAACCTAGCTACCTATCTGATTCTGTGTGAGCTCTGTGTCTTGATTTGCCAACAATATACTTAAAGCTACCTATCTGGGAGGGGCCAGCCAGTGGCAACAGAGCACTTATCCGGGTAGGAGCTCGGGCCCAGGCTCGGCCTGGACACCAACGTGAGTGGACGCAAGACAGCGTCCCTCCCTCACCCTCAACTTGGCCGAACCCAGATACACACATGTCGACTCTTCCGAACACCACGCTGGCGACGCTCGCCGACGTCAGCGTGGAGGAGCTCGCCGAGGTTGTCTCCCGCGCTTCGTGGGAGGAGAGGCTCACCGCGGATGACAGAGCGAGGCTCGGCGGCCTGCTCCCCTTCGGCGACGACGAGGCGGAGCGGGCGGTCGCCCTCGACACCGTCTTCTCGTGCGCGCCGGTTCGCTTTGGCTCCGCCGTCGGGCGCGCGTGGGAGCTGCTGCGCGCCGGTGCTCTCACCGCGGCCGCCGCGGCCGAGCGCGAGGAATCGCGCAGGGCGCACGACGAGGCTGTCGCGGCTCACCACGACGACCTCGTGAGGCGGCTGCACACGCTGCGGCGCACCTGGCTGCCGCCGCAGCCAAAGCCTCCGCGCGCCACGAAGCGGAAGAAGGCCGACGACTGGCTCGTCTACTCCAAGGAGGGCGGGGGGCTGGTCCGCCGCAATCTCAAGCAGCCGCCGGCGGCCCGCGGGTCAAAGCAAGTGGCCGAGGCGGCGGCGGCGCGGGGCTCCTCGCTCGCGTCCGACAGTGGCGCGTCGCCCCAGGCCGCATTCCCCCGGGCCGCCGAGGCTCTTCCGCCACTGCCGGGCGAGGCGGACGAGTCTGTGAGCGAGGGCCTCGTGAGCAGCAGGCCCGAGCCGCTCTTCCCACCTCGCTCTCTGAGCCCGGCAGGCTGTCTTGTCTAGGCGAGGGCGAGCCGGCCCCTCCAGCGGGGCGCAAGAGGGCCGCGCCGGACACGTCGCCGGCGGAGGCCAGCTCTGCGAGCGGGCTCGCTGCTGCGAGCGGTCTCGCGCTGCCCGACGGCTTCTCGCCGCAGCTGCAGTTTGCGCGGCTCGTGCGCGACGCTATCTCTTCGGTGCCGCAGGAGTTTGCTCCGGCAGAGTACGTGCGCAAACAGGTGCAGGTGCAGGCGGAGGCGGGCGGGCAGGTGGCGCTCCTGCCAAAGGGGACGGCGCTGCAGCAGTACATCCGCTCGATCCTCCTCTTCATGTCCACCTCGGCAGACGAGCTGGCCGCCGCGAGCCCTGTCAAAAGAAACGGCGGCCGCAGGACAAGGAGGCCTTGTGAACAGGCGGACGAGCATGCCGCGCGCACGCAGGCCGGCGACAGCGCGGCGCCGCCCGACGCCGCCGTCGATTTTGACGAGCTCACGCAGTCCTACCGCTGGAGGGGGCCGACCGGCGAGCACGCGGACGCGGAGCTGCGGCGGCTGGAGGTGCTGCACTTCGAGCGCTTCGTCTCGCAGCACGGCGGAGTGGTCTCGGGCTCCGGCGGCGCGCGCGGGCTGCACGCGCCCATCCGGTCGCAGAAGGCTGCCCTGACGCTGCCCCCCGGCTCCGCCGAGCAGCTCGCGTTCTTTCAGCGGGAGGAGGCGATGCGGTACAGCAGCCCAAACCAGGCGTGGGTCTACACGCTGCGCGATGGGAGCCAGTCCTCGGTCTCGCCCATCGGCAAGAAGAGCTCCGCGGTCGGCAAGGCGCGCGAGCACTTCCTCCTGCGGCCGGAGCGGCCTCCGAGCGTCACGCTACTCGCGCTCGTGCGCGACGCGGCGGCGCGGCTGCCGGGAGGGGAGGGCTCGCGTGCGGACGTCTGCGAGTTGCTAAAGGAGTCGCAGTACCTCATCGGCGGCGTGAACGACGCGCAGATCTCGCAGGTGGCCAGCGGTGCGCTCGACCGCCTCCACCAAGAACAAGACCCGTGCGTCACCTACGAGTCGGAGCGCAAGGTCTGGATCTACCTGCACGCCGACCGGCAGGCGTCCGACTTTCACGCGCTGCCGCTGAGCAAAAAGTCCAAGGTGGCCAGCTTGCTGTGAGTATAGAGTAGTCCTCGCTCCTGGAGGGACGCGGTCTCTCGCGTCTCGGAGAGTCTCCCTCATGTACCGGTGCCACGTGGGCCACACAGTAAAATACAACAAGAGAACATCTCACCCAGAGAAACCACGTAGTTTGTATTCCGAGACCAGGGCCCACGGCGGGGGCCTCGGTGCCTAGCCCCGCATTTAACAAAAATAAACTGCTCTGGGTGCTGCCATGGGACCGCCGTCCGCGGCACAGAAAAGAGAGCGAGCGCGGGGCTGAGCGGGCCGACACAGCGATGGCCCGTCGTGGCTCTGTGTGAGGATGCCCGTGGCGAGAGGTCCTGGTCGTCGGCGAGGCCGCTTAGGCGCGTCCGACGCGTCCGCCCGTGTCCGCGCTCCGGCGTCAAACCTTGAGCTTCTCCGCCTCCTCGAGCGTCTCCGCGTCCTCCGGCGTGCGCGCCTCGCTCCGCAGGCACCGCGCACGCCACTCTCTCGCCTCGCCGTCGCGGCCCAGCTTCTGGCAGGTGCGGGCTAGCATCAGCCGGTTCTTCGGGTAGAAGCCCGGGTCCATCTGCTCGGCCGCGGCGAAGTGATCAAGCGCCTGAGGTCGCGGCGGCGGCACCGTGGGCGTGCGGCGGCACCGTCGCGTGCGGCGGTGGCGGGTTGGGGGGAGGCGGGGCGTGCGTGAGCGTGCGTGAGCGTGCGTGGGGGGGACGCGGCCCGGCGACGTGGCGCCGAGGGGCGCAGCGGGGAGCGGCCCGAGCTGCTTCTCCGCGCCTGCTCGTAGGTGGCCTGCGGGGGGGCCGCGAAGAGAGCCGCGGCGGCCTTCTTCTCTATCCACGAGAGCTTCGCCACCTCGAAGCACCACACGCCCAGCAGGTGCCGACTCGTGGCGTCCGTCGGCGCGAGGGCGACGGCCTTCTCGAAGTGCTCGGCGATCCGGAAGCTGTTCTTGATCTTTTCCGTCGTGCCGCCAAAGGCGCCAACGTCCGAGAGCAGGATCGCGTACCACTTGTGGCACGGGGCGCAGGCCTCGTCCGCCGCCAGGGCACGATCCGCCAGCTCGAGCGCCTCCACCACCAGGGCCTGCTTCGCTGGCGCAGCCTTCTCGGCGTCCGCCAACTTCTTTAGCGCTCGCCCGAGCCTCCACAGCAGCGCAGCATCGTCCGGTCGGGAAGCGAGCGCGGTGCGCAGCAGAGACGCAAGTGCGGCGAAGCTGTTCGCCTCGAACAGGGTGTCGGCCTCGTCGATGACTGAGGGCGCCTTTGCGCTGTCGGCTGGACGCACGTGATCGTTGACGGCGAGGGCCAGAAGGGCGGCGCCCACAGCAAGACCCGTGCCCCGCGGCGGCACACTGGCCCGTGCGACGAGTGGCTGCGAGAGTGCCAGCGAGGCCGCGATCCCGTCGCAACCGAGTTGCAACCGCGGCGCAGCCCATTTCGCACGGCGTATGACGCTAAGAGCCATGGTTGGCTTCTCGGGATAGAGCGGCTGTGAAGAGGATGCGAAGCATCGTCCAATATTGCTTTTGCTTTTGGACAGGGCTGAGATTCTTAGAAGGCGCGCTGTACCCCCTTGCTTGCGAGCATGTACGAGGTTGCCCGAAATGCCGCCTGCCGTTTGGCAGATTGGAAGAAGACCCTTTGGACCAAAGCAGCCCGGAGGATCGGCGCGCAGTCCCAGACTGACGGCCGGTGGCATGAAGCAAGATCGACTTCGGACCAAGTGTCACAAACGTGACGAAATTGCGTCGCCCTGGCGCCCTCGGGCCCGACCCGTTGGCTGAAAATGACTCCCCTGGTGCTCGGTTTGAACGTCTCGCAAGCAAGCTGGCGTCGCTCGCATAACTGTGACAGGGCGATTCTCCCCTCGACGGAAGGGAGATCCAGAGCCTCCTGCTCTGCCCGCGCCGCCTGGCTGTTTGGCGACAGCGGAAGCCCGCGCAGTTGCGTGGGTCCGCGCCACAGGTAGAGACGTTGAGCTTGGCGATGATTTAGTTGTCGTTCGGTCACTGGGCCAGTGGCAAGGTTGGAGCAATGCCAATGCGGCGATAGTCGTGCTTAGCTTCCTCCTAGGCACCCACCAATGTGCCCTCGACGCGATGCGTCGGCTGGCGGCGCGGGACGAGGGCCGTGCCGCTTCGTCGTCACGCCGCGCTGTTGCTCCGCCGCTAGCCGAGCCGAGGCACGCCATCGCCATCGGGTTGGCGAAGGATGCGTGCTGGCGAGGGGCGGGGCGGCGGTCCTGAAGCGCCGCTGCGTGGCCGCGGCGGCGCGCTCGACGCCGTGCAAACGTTTGCCCATATTTCGAATTCTCTGTCAAAATGTCTGAAGTTCGGTCTCTAGGATTCTTCCTAGCTAGCTCAGCTGAGCTGCCAGCCTGCCTGGGCGCTGGGGGCCTGCCAGCCCTTCCTTCCTTCGGAGGGAGGGAGGGGTGGAAGCATGGCCATGGGTGGATGGAAGCCATCGATCGAGGGAAGCGCGGAAGCCATGGCAGCTAGATGGCCGCAGTTGTAAAGTAGCCCTTACGCGGCCGGGTCTCGATTCTTTCTTTCGGTGTAGAGCTCTACCTGTGTTGTGCCAGGGTTTGCTGTAAAAATCCGACGACAGCCACGTCAGACGCGTGCGTAACAGAGGAAGAACTTAGGCGGCGACCCGCATGACGGCGTCAGGTGCCCGTGCGCACCACGCCCGTCTTTCTGGACCCTTACCCTTGCCGTCGCGCGCTGCTCACCTAGCATCCTCTCTGCATGCATCCTCTCCGTGCGCAGGTATTCTCCTGTCATTGCTTTTCGGCGCCGGCCTAGCAGCGGCTAGCTTGCGTCATGCGACAGAGGAATTGCCGCAAGAGGGTGGTGCATCAGACGCCTCGGCATCGGTGTTGGGCGGGGCGGTCGCCCAAAGCGATGCAAACACCTTTTCGGCGCAGCACCAGCTCACCCGATCATCGCTCGCGCCACGAGCATCGGACTCACCACCGCTGCCACTGAGAGCACTTGGACCCCTTCTGTTGCCTGTGGATACCATGTTTGCTCCCCATCCTCGTTTGTGCAAAGAGTCGTGCTACCCTGCTGGGCCCGCGGCCGGCTTGGCAACGAATGCTTGCGAGCTCGAGGAGTGTCAAGGTTGTTGGCATTGCGCAGACTCTGACGCGCCCTCTGTGCTCATCCCGCCGCCTGGCAAGGGACTGCAGCGCAGGCTGTCCGAAGACCAATCGCTCGCCAGCGTGCCCCATCTGCCTGGCACATCCCATGCGCGCCGAACTACGAAGCCTCGTGTCCTTCCCCCCTTCGGCACGATCCCAGCGCCACTCGCACAACGCGCCCCTCTGGCGGCGCCGCCATCGCCATCACCACCGCCACCGTCGCCGCCGCCACCAGTGGCGCCCCTGCCGTCCCCGCCGCCACCGTCGCCACCGTCGTCGTCACCGCGGCCGCCCTCCCCATACTCCCCACGGCTGCCTGAGCAGCCGCCATCGCCGCCGCCTCCATCCCCACCGCCACCAGTGGCACCACTTCCCTCGCCGCCGCCACCCTCGCCACCACCACCTGTGACGCCGCTACCGTCGCCGCCGCCGCCCTCGCCGCCGCCACAGTGGTTACCGCCCGCGCTGCCGCTTGCTCCGACCATCCCACCATCCTCGCCGCTGCCACCCTCGTCGGGGCTTCCACCTCGTTCGCCATCGCCATCACCCTCGCCGCCCCCGCCTTCGCCACCGCCTCCGTTCGCCCCCTCACCGCTGCCCCCGCCGCCGTCGCCACCACCACCGTCGCCGCCCCCGAATCAGCCAACGTCATCTCCGCCGAGCTCGACGCCACCAGCCCCTGTGCTACCGTCGCCATCGCCTTCACCACCTTCTCTTCCGCCACAATCAGGCATGCCCCCGCTTTCGCCCGTTCCTCCGGCCGCCCCTCCTCCGTCACCGCTGCCAGTGTCCTCAACCCCGCCCTCGCCACCACCGTCGCAGCCGCCGCCATCGCCGCCCTCGGCGCCGCTGTCATCGTCGCCGCCACCATCGCCGCCCGCGCCCGCCCCGCCGCCGCCCTCGCCCCCGCCGCCGTCCGGCATGCCGCCGCTCTCGCCCTCGCCTCCAGCCGCGCCGCCCCCGTCGCCGCCGCCCTCGCCGCCGCCGCCCTCGTCTCCACCCTCGCCGCCGCCGCCCTCGCCGCCACCCTCGCCGCCGCCGCCCTCGTCACCGCCCTCGCCGCCCCCGCCCTCGCCGCCCCCCACGCCGCCGCCACCATCGCAGCCCCCGACGCCGCCTCCTCCCTCACCCCCGCCCTCGCTGCCTCCCCCGTCGCAGCCGCCCTCCCCACCGCCGCCCTCGTCTCCGCCCTCGCCGCCGCCGCCCTCGCACCCGCCGCCGCTGCCGCT